TTAGCGGCCATCTGCCGAGGCCGACTGAAATGAAATATATATGAACATATACAGTATTTTGGCATACTCTCAGAATACTTGTGTAAAATGAACGTAATAATCACCCATTAGTTAAAAAAGTACAAAATAAGAAAAACATGTTTCATTGTCTTTACACATTTTGTCCGTTACTCTTTAGCAGAGGTCTGCAGCCACTGTGACGGGTGAGTCGATGACAGAGTCTAAGGCTACGTTCAAACTAAAGGCCTTGATGCTCAATTCCGATTTTTTTGTGAAAGCCGATTTTTTTGCGTTGGCGTTCACATTTCCAAATATATGCGACTTGTATGGGATCTTCTGTGTAAGCTGTATTCATACGGCTTATGTGTCCCGCATTCGCAGTAGAGGACTCAATGACGTCACAAGCAAGCGTGCTTCGTGTTTACGGAAGTAAACATGGATGTAGCGCCGGAGCGCATCTGGTGATCTTTCAAAACCTTAAAACCTCAATCTTTTCAAGATGGTTAAACATAAATAATACTCTCCACATCATCGTACACCATGGTTGTTTTTTTTTTCTTGCCGCTACTGTGTAGCAAGAAGCAGAATAGTGACCTTTGTCGGTTACTAATGGCGTTCAGGTCGGATGAATGCGACCTGGCCGTTCAGACAGAGGTCGCATTTGAAAAGATCAGATTCGTATCGGATTCAGGACCACATAGCCAAGTGGCCTGGGTCGCATTGGAAAAAATCAGATCTGTGTTGTTCAGACTGACATGAAAAGATCAGATCCAGGTCGGACATGGGCCAAAAAATCGGATTTGGGTCACTTCAGGCTGCAGTGTGAACGTAGCCTAAGAGAAGCAAGGTTCACGTTTTCACTGCACTTTTCTTACATATATGTGCAAATAAGGAGGTACCGTAATTTTCGGACTATAAGCCACAACTTTTTCCTCATTTTTCGACCTTGCGGCTAATATAACAATCTGTGGACTTTTACAGCTAACGGCCACTAGGGTAATACCTAAATCTATGGATTTTACCATCCACCATGTTGACGTCACATTTGCTTCAACACACAAGTACGCTAGCCGCGCGCGCAGGAATGCGGAGGTCCTCCAGAAGCAGACTTCTACCGCGAATGGTACGAGACAGAACGACAGCGAGAAAGGCGGACATTGCGAGCGCAAGACAGTTTGTGTGACACCCTCATTATGGAAAACAGACGTACTGGTTAATAAATGGGAGCTTCGATTGCACTAAATTGCAACAGCTAACGTATGCAAATATGCTAATTGTGTTGAAATGTTAATAAATAGGAGCTTCCCCAAGCAGTTGCCTCTTTCCTGACAATCCTCTCTGTGCACGAACCATATGGTAATTAAACATAAAAAACCTGCCGCTTATAGTCCGGTGCGGCTTGTATATGTACAAATAATGCTATTTAGATTCTGCGGCTTATATTCCGGTGCGGCTTAAAGTCCGAAAATTACGGTAAATGTGTTTAAAAAACAGTTTGCAGGTATACACATTTAAAGACAGTATATTGGACTAACCAACATTTGTGCTGAAATGGTGGGAGGAGCCCAGATGTCAGTCAAAATGCAGATATGCTCTTTAAAAAAAATTGGCGTAGCTGCCTGAATTTAAACTTAGGAAGATTTTTGTAAAAAATACACTTGCCAGAGCCCTTCTTGACTACGTCAGAAATCCTGTCCGTAAAGGTTATGAATAAGATTGAAAGTAAAACTCAGATATGTAGAGATCAATTAAAGAAAGAGTAAAAATATGCAAGCCTTTACTTCTTCTAACTGTTATGAATGCAGTTTACAGACAGTTGGGGGGAAAAAATGAACAAATCCCAAAATTTGAATAGTGTTACAGTTATGGCATATTTATAGAAAGTTGAGTGGAAGGAAGACGTGTAATCAGATAAACTATTAATGTTGAATTGCTCGTATGAAGCCGTTTCTGAACCGGAGATAATATCAGATTAGGAAAAGAGAAGAACTCAACAGTTTATCAGTTGTTTTAAGAGCTCTTTGCAGATAAAAATTAAGGTCCTGAACTCAAGAAGCAAAACAGAGTCAAAGAATCCATCCTGCTTGAGATATTTTGACTGTCAGTGATGGTTGGGTGCCCTGTCATCTGCTGTTGTTGGTTCATTTAAAATCAGCCAGGAAATTCTAGAGCACTTCATGATTTTATGTCAAGAGACCTAACAAACATGCTGATCTTATTTTCCAGTGCGGCCTGAAACATTGAACAGGCCCGACCCCAAAACTGATTAAAACGTGTTCCACCCCAAATATTTACAAGAGAAACCTGGAAATCAATTCAAAAGGAAATAAAGTCTATCAGTGAGCTGTTGTCATCTTAAGGTTATCGGGCGTTGATCTTTTTTTATCCGATCAGTTATTACACTGTAACTGACTCATCTTTAGATATTAGTAAAGCGTTTTAATGTAAGAAGATAAAGAAAAGTTTAAGAAAATTGGATTATTTTACTCATCCTGTTTAAAAATACAACTAGAACTGAGTTTTAGTAAAGACTTGCTTAACAGGAACAACTGTGTTTTTGCTTTAGCTCAACATAAACAATGACACAGCATCAAAAAAAAAGCTTTTTTTACTGTATGAATGATATGAATGTTTGAGTCAGAAGAACTATTTAAACTATTCCTTGAGTTTTCTACAGACAGTAAAGATGAAAACAGCTTTGATTTTAGTGCAAAGTACAAAACTATTATTTTTTTTTTTTTAAGTATCTCCATTGGTAATTTTGGTAAGTTTTTTTTAAATAAAAGAAACATTTAATCAGACTGACGAGCCAAAAAGAGAACTTATAATGTGTGAAATGTAGGTATGTAAAATTTGTTTAATGTTTGCCCTTGATTTAAGTAGGTAGGTAGAGCGGAAAAAATTAATCAGATTAATCGATTATTGAAATAATCATCAACTATTTTAATAATCTATTGTTATACAGACTGTAAAACATGACTTTAGCCCACAGAGAAACCAAACTTTTCCACTAATCAAGTGGAAAAGTTTGGTTTCACTTGGTTTAAATCTGTTAAAGAAAAAATTCTTTAAGGAACCTTTTATTATCCGATTATTAAAAACGACAGCGTAATCAATTAGCAAAATAATCATAAGTGGCAGCCGTATAGGTCGGTATCGTCATCTGACAATGAGATATAAGTTTTAGCATTTAAATTTAAGGCTATGCCAATATTTCCCAAAATATTAGTGGTTTCAGAAACAGCAATATCGGCTTAAAAACATCAGAGAGAATAAGTAGAAAACGGCACACATTGGGGATCAGTCTTACATCAAAGTAATCGGTATGACACCTAATAAACTTTAGCGGTCGATACCATCTTATAATAACAATAATAATGAAAAGAAAGAAAATCTCCATGATATTTTAAGTGCAGTATATTGAATAACTTTATTTTAGGCCAAAATTCTCATTTAATTAGCAGATTCCTGTACATACCTGCTCATATCAACACAAATGCACTTTAAAACCGGAACGATATGTTTGGCTCATATTAGTGTGTTGTTTTTTTTTGCATCTGCATCAATATTACTCTATGATATCGAATGGCCTGTAAATACATTTGCATGTGTTCATCTGTTGCATTGTTCCCTCCCTCAACTATCTATTGTTAATGTTTTATTTAGTGAAAAATCTGCTGTGTCGGTTACCATGTAAACAGAGGAAGTAGAACAAGAAATATCAGCCTTAAAAAGGATTCAAAGACTGATGTTAAAATAATCGGTATTGATGTTGGCCTTACAAACCTGAGTCTGTCAATCACTAAAACACTTATTTTTTTTTTACAAATGTTGACTTATTTTTAGACCAATTGAAAACATCTACATTTTTTTTGAAAAAAAAAGAAAAATTAAAGAGATATTTTCTGAACAAAGTAAATAATTTTAGTCTTATTTGTGTTAGAGTGGCTCAGGTTGTCATGAGCTAGCTCTATAATTATGCTGCTATAGGCTTAGACTGCTGGAGGACATAGGGACAATTTGTCATCATTCTATCTCTATTCTCCCACTCTGCAGAATCTGTTAGTTCAATTTCTAAACGTTCCTGTTTGGCTGTGCTCTCTTCATCCTCTGACATGGGAGCTGGCTCGGAGCTCGTCTGCCTGGCTGTGGGTTTCCTGGACAAAGACGCCTTTTACAGCTGCTTTCTGTTTCTGTATCTCTGCTTCTGTCTCCTTGAACACCAGTCGGCCTCAGCAGATGGCCGCTCACACTGAGCCTGGTTCTGCTGGAGGTTTCTTCCTGTTAAAAGGGAGTTTTTCCTCTCCACTGTCGCTACAAGCATGCTTAGTGTGAGGGATTGCTTTCGGGTAGATGCAAGTCCTTAGATAGAAAACTTTGAATCAATTTGAATGTATGATCTGGTGACTGTAGAGTGCCTTGAGATGACATGTGTTGTGAATTGGCGCTATATAAATAAACTGAGTTTAATTGAATTTATAATTGAAATATTTTTATGTTTTCAGTCGCAGCTTTCAAAAGCGGTTAATACTTTTTTAGAAATAAAAAAAATGAATAAAAAAAAAAAATATATATATATATATATATATATATATATATATATATATATTATTTTTACTATTATTATTTGATAGTTTTTTTCTCAATTTTACAGTGAGTGTTTAATTTCTCAATTTAAAAAAAGTGACACGTTGGGTTGATGAGTGTAATCGGGCGGTGTGACGTCACTTCCGCCACTTCTATCGCAGGCCAAAAGGGCCGCAACAATTATCTCTGTACACACAAGCAGAAATATTCACACTTCCACTGCAGTCATTTGTTTACGGATTACTTTCATGGGGAAATTAGCCGCCTATAATGTGCTGTAAGCAGATTAGCGCGTCGGCGCGCAGAGTTTTGGACGTTGAACTCTGAGCAGCTGCAGCAGAGAAAAAAAAAAAAAAAAGAGAGAGAAAACTTTTCCTGACATGACAGCAGAGGACAAAAATTAAGACACTCACCCCTCTCCGATGCAGTTTTACTTCCCTCCTCATCCCGGCTCACTTGGGTGATTATTGAGGACGGATTGTCCATCACGTCCAGGTCCGGACCTCACGCGCTAAACTTAGGGATTGTTCCGCTGCTGCTGCTGCATGAAGCAAACATGTACGAGAAGAAAACTGAAAGGCGCCGGAAAAGTGGCAAAGCAGTCTCCTAAAGCGCCTCCATGAACTCCGCTCGCTAAGCCGCTGACATAAGAAGTTACAAAGTTACCAAACATTTGTTTAAAAGAGTTGGCAACTTTGATTCAACATGGAGCTCAACTCCGTTCGCAATTTCAAGATACAAACATGGAGGTTTCAAGGCGCCCCCCTTTCACTTAAAGCGGCGCAGGAAGAGGGAACGGCTGTCACCGACACTCCGCCTAGCTGCGGCGACACATTTAGCGACGGTCCCTTAAAGTGAACGGCACAAAGTTGGTCCAAAAGTTACACGGTGTTCTTTTTTTTAGTGCGACATACTGCTTTTAACTCCATAAACAGGAAAATTTTGAGCATTTGTTGGAGAGTGCAGAGCAATCGGCTGCCATCTAAATGTGACGTCAAAAACTGAGCGATAGTATAAAAGTTACGCTAAGAAAGTGAACTTATTTACTGTGCCTGAAGCCTGGGCTTGTCGTATGCTCCAAATGCAACCATCGGCTGGAGAAACAACATTAAAAGTGTTACTTCAAACTTTTTTTGTCTCTTTGAAGTGGCAGCAGCAAAGAAACGCCCAGTTTGGGCTTCCTTGAAACTGCCTACATAAGGGAGCGTCATGAAAAAGTTGTACAGTTATGCTTTTTTTTATTATTAAAGACATAACAGTTCATAACAAAACAGATATGAATACCTTTTCAATGTTTAATCACAAAAAGTTTGAAAAATTATTGTAAAGTAAATGCTTTTGTCTCTTTCTAAATAATTCAGATGTATTTTAAAGTATAGTTGTTTTATTCACCCTTCATTTATTAATATTGTCCTTCATTGAAATGTTTTTTGTGTGTTAGACATTATAATTATTAAATTATATATATATATATATATATATGTATTTATTAATTTATATAAAACTATTCCTAGATGTCAAAGTCAAATCTCTATCTCAGGAAAAGTGATGGAAAATAAGGTCTTATCTTATTTTTCTCAGTTATTTCCCACAATTACAAACTAGGGTCATTTTATTCAGTAATTTAAACATTTTATATTTTAATTGTAAAGTAACTATTATTTGAATCACTACATATAAGAATTAATTAAAATGTCAAACCTACGTATTTCACATTTATATTTTTAAGATATATTTTTGGCTCTTCATATACCACCGGGTATCACATTGTGACATCACATTACAATAAATGTGAAAGTCATCTACTGACCACCACTTTGGGAACCCATGACCCATAAAATGGCTACTTTATTAGGTAAACAAAGATTATTTCAGTGTTTTTCCCAGTGTTTTTAATGAAGTTTTCTATTCTGTATCCAGAAAGGTAACAATTCCATTTCTTTAAAATGTTGGTCAATATTACAATCTACCATTACACAGTTTGTTGGACTAAGCAGCTCATTCAAAACAATTTTTTTTATCATGCATAATAAATCAGTTTCAAATAAGCTTAATGATATGAAGAACTAAAATGAAAGAATTGTTTAGCTTGGCTGTTGCCACAAGACAGGAACAATATACTACTACTTCTTTTTTGGTAATTTTGTCTACATCAAACCCTACCTACATGTTCAGATTGGAGTGGTTTTTCCCATATGGATCACTAACTGGACAGAGTGGTTGCCAAGTTTGTTGAGCTGATTAACTATTTGTGTTAGCTAAATGGATTGTGAGTGTACTTTGAAAAATAAAATCAGACCACTGTGTTAAAAGATGAATATATTTTAAGTATACTGTTTAATGGTGCACCCATTGCAGGTTTCAGGCTGACCGATTACGATCATTTTTGATTATTTACCTATTCTGATCGTGACTGATTTTGAATAAAAAAATTAAAAAACATCTTAAAAACCATTTTTTAGCTCCTTCAAAACAATAAAAACTTCTAAAATTACAAACCAAAGTATAGAGCATTGACTGTGGGGCCTTATTTATCAATGCTAAACCAAACATTTTATACCCAAGGGTTTATTTAGTTTCCACATGGGTCAGGAGACACCAAATTGGAGGTCATGAGTTGATTTTTAGAATCACACGGACGAGACCCCAAAGGAATGTGAAATCCCAAATCGTACTAGATAAATATAAAAATTACCAAGAAAATATCCTCTTAAATAATTAAACAAGTCCTGTTGGCCAGGATTTAATGGATTAGATAATCAAATATACAATTAAATCATGAAATGCTGAACTTCATTATCCCAATATTTAATATGTAATATTTAATAAGACACATTCCCTTGAAAATGCATATAGTTATTTCAATTTATATTCAAAACTAGACAAATACATGCATCGTAGAATTTCTAAAAGTAAAATGGGAGGCAGATCTCAAAAAAGTAGACACCCTGTCTACTTTTAAGACAAGGCTTAAAACTTTCCTGTTTGATAAAACTTATAGAGTAGTTATAGTAGTGAGCTATCTTTATAGTTCTGCTGCTATAGGCTTAGACTGCTGGAGGACATAGGGACCCTTTTTCATCACTCCGCTTCCTTACATCTCTGTCATCCCACTCTTCAGAATTTCTTAGTTAGTTCCTTTTTCATGAAAATCTCAGAGCTAATCTGCTTAACTGTGTCTGTCCTAAAGAGAACCACCCATGGAGCTAATTTTGAATGTATTTTTTTAAATAATTTTATTGATCTTATTTGTTTTTTTTTAACTATCAAAAGGGACATTTAAATATATTAATCTTATTTAAATTTTTGATACTTTCAGGTGTTAAATTCACTTTCCATTTATTTTTAGTTGTTTAACAGATAGTAATATGACATTTAAATTTTAAATTTGAATGAACTTTTAACAATTTAATAGGACATTTCCCTATTTAATTTAGTTTCAGTTATTTCATTCAGTTGGCTACACTACAGCAGCATATTTTGTTTTAAATAAACATTGCATTATGTTGCATCTATTCATTTTATGAAAAGCTTATTTATATTATGGTACATTTCCATTTTTAGATTTTATTATATATTTTGGCCCTCCGTATACTTGAGGGATCACATCATCATGATCCTGAAAAACATGTTAGGGACCCGCGATTTGGGGTCATAGTGTACCGTAGAGACTCTAGACTCTTACTTTATGGGGTTCCATCATCCCAACAACCAAAAATGTAAACTTAAACTTAAAAAAAACTGTCAATATTTCCAAATGTATGAATATTTTTACTACATACTAGCTCATAAAAACATGTCAATCTTTGTCCACATATAAACACCGCAAATGGGTACATTTATACAGCGATTCACAAGACATTCAAATGTTACAAAGACTCCATGGATATTGGCCTAATTGTATGAATGAATGAGTTGTAATATCCAGATACTGTAACCAGCTGCAGAAGACATCACACATTTAAGATCAAACATTTCTGAAGTTTTATCCGAGGCACTGACTTGGACGACCGTGACTGAAGCGACCAGACAAACCGAACCATAACAAAGACAATCCACGGCAATTAAGCGTAACATTGACACTTCACAGGAAAAACTCTACTTCACAGCCAGATCACAGTTAAGAGGCGATAAAACCCCCTAAAACTATTGCCCTTTACACTCGACATTAACCAAGAACATCTTTTTCAATTCAATTTATTTTCTTTTTTTGCCTTACTGATCATTTAAAAGGTGACTCAAAAAACTAAACAAAACAAAAAAATCACTCACATGCAAATAAATTAACATTAAAAAAGTAAACATTTAAGAAAAGGGGGGAAAATTTATATTTTTTTGGTGTTTTAAAATGAGACTAAATGCAAAATAAGTTAGCAGCTTTAATCGTGGTACATTAACATGATGCTTTTTTGACTGAACTGCAGAGTAAAAACCACCAAAAAGAGCATCGTCAGGTTGGAAAATCATACAGAATATATAAGGCAAAAAATAACACTGTGCAATGTCAGAATCACCAAGTCACTGAGAGGATATGCAGAAGTCCTGTCCTTTTAAATACAGTTTATGAGCAGTTTGTCAATTGAATCGACACTGAGTGCTCTTCACTTGAGGATGAAACTGCAGTTGTATGGAGGGAATTTTGTTCCACTATTTTTGCTCAAAAAACATGTTTTGTAAATTTAATTTAAAAAAATGCAATCCAAAAATGAAACTTAAAAAAAAAAATTAAATAAAGGTTTTAATAGTAACTTTGCTGCTTTCTCAGATATAATTTAAAATATATATATATATATTTCAAAAATTTTTTTTACAGATTTTATATACTATTAATTTTTATATAAAAAATGTCTATTTTTTATGGATATATTTTCACAGATATCCATTTTTTTCTGTTTATTTAGATTGAGTTTTACAAATGTTATTCTTTTTAAATACCATTTTTATGGATCACATTCTCTTCACTTCAAGCCTAATACAAAAGCTCGGTCTAGGTAGACCAACAGAAGGCACGCCCCCAGAGGTAGAGAATGTGATCTATAAAACAGAAATTTGAAGAAAAATATAGACAAAAATATGTAATCTTTGAAAAAAAAGTAACTTTTTTGGGAAAAATAAAATTCTAAAATATAAAATCTGTGCAAACATAAAAAAACAAAAACATATATAATAATTTAGAAAAACAAAAGCCTGGAAAAACAGCAAATTTACTCTCAACCTTTAAATTTTTTCTGGGTTGCATTTTTTCCCTTCAAATATCCATGTGCAAAACGCTTTCTTTGCTTGCAACAATAATGGACAAAAATTCACTCCATACTTTGAGTCTTGAATTGTTCCAGAACACTTGGCCACCACCTGTCAACCCGTGCTGCTTTTCAGTGACAGTTTGTAAACATGGCAGGTTCTCTTTGGGGCAGATCCACCTCTAGGGCTTTCAGCTCCCGTTTACTGTGGCTTGGATGCGTGTGCTGTGGTGCCCGACTGAGGGCTGCGTGGAGAGCCCTGGTAGGTCCGCAGCAGCACTTTGTGCTTGGTGGCGCTCTCCGTGCGACGACTCTGCTGCTCCACCAGGAACTCCTTGAGTCGATTGGAGGTGAAGGTCAGCGTCTGCCTCCTGAGCTTCATCAGATAGGAGTCCTGCAGCCAGGCCTGTGTGAAGCAGTCACGTGTGGTTGGGCGAGCCCTACCGAAGCACAGCAAATAGGGAAGATTATACCATTTTGAGTCAAACATCTTATTTATATCACATTTTATTTGATAAAGAATCAGTCACCATGGATAACTGCTCAACATCTTCTTGAGAAAAACTGAGGCACTTTGGGAAACATTTGGGTAGAGTTTAGTTGGGTCGAACTTGGCCAGTAGGATTTTAGACTCAACCTGTCGCGGGTCCTTATCTTCGAAGGGAAGTCGACCGCTAAGCCTGAGGGGAAAGAGGAACAAACAAAGTTAGATCTAACAGCAGAGCATCTGTGGACTTTAAGTGGGAGAAGCTTGAAACACTTTACAACGGGGAGGGACTTTCAAGCTCCAGGGGCGGAGCTAGAAGGGGGGGCAGGGGTGGCATCATATACGCTAAAAGAGATCAAGTTTACTTTAAATGTCTAAAAAAAGACAAAATTGTTTACCAAATTACTGTTGTATTTAAAAAAAAATCAATAACAAGCAGGATGGATGGTTGAGACTCTCAGGAAACAAGATGATTTTTTGGGAAATCAAACAAATTCCTTCATAAAAAATTCATAGACATTCTAAAAAAATATTTAAGATCAGAGGTGGGTAAACTACTTATAAATTGTACTCAGATGGTGCAAAAAAACCTGTAAGGAGATTAGCTCCAATCATTAGCATTTCCAGCTCCTCAACACAGACAGGAGGCTAATCCCCCGTTTAAATGAACAGGATGAAGGAAACCAGGCTGGGTTTGTATTTTCTGGAAGTGGATTATATACATATAGTGGATTAGATATAGTAAATTTAATCCAAGAAATGACTCAAGTAAAAATAAAGTATTTAGTACAAAGGCTATTCAAGTACTAATTTATTTATCAATCTAAAGATTTATTCAATGTTTAGAAATTATAACTATGAGCCAGTTCTGGTATTTTAAAGACTAAAATACATTAAAATAAAAGTCATGATTATCAAAGAAAAAACATATTAAACCAATACTGAAGGTGAGAAATGTTCCATTGACTATATGTATTATTTACAGTGTGTTAAAACTTTCCAAATTACCTCTAAAAGTTTTTTTATTTTTTACTTGCTACGATCTATCTCTCTATAAGATGATTTATTTTTAATATTTTTAATCCGTTTTCAAATCTTAGAATCAAAAACATTCCTCTCGTCTTGTAATTTGTATCTGGAACAGCTGGTATACAGCCTTACTCTGTGAGGCAGCCTACCTTTATAATAAAGTTGGAGCGGCTCAATTTAACCTGAGCTATTTCCATAGTTGAGCTGCTATAGGCTTAGACTGCTGGAGGACATAAGGAGCCCTTTTCCTCTCTGTTCTACATTGTTCTTCTCTTTTTGCATAATTTCTTCTTTTTTCTTTAACTTTGTTTTCTTTGTTTTTTGTCTTCAAAATGGCTCCCACTCCTATTACTACTGTTAACAACGTCATGTTAAAGATGACGTTCATCCTCAAATTATTGGCTCAGCCTTACTAATTAGCTTTCTTTCATACTCTAACCTGGTTACCCGCCTCAGCTTAACTGTTTCTTTCCCAGACAGAGCAACCCCTGGAGCTAGTTTTCTGTTAACTTTTCTAGAAACGTAGAAAGTATTTACAGTGCTTCTATGTTCTTTTTTGTATGTCTGCTTCTGTCTCCTCGAATCTGCAGTCGGCCTCAGTAGAAGGCCGCTCACACTGAGCCTGGTTATCAGCAGGGAGTTTTTCCTCTCTGTCTTTGCACTGCAAAAACAATCTAGAAATAAGTAAAAACTTCTTAAATTAAGTGTATTCACCCTTAATTTTTGTAGGTAAATGAGATAGTTTGCCAATGGAATGAGTATTTTTACTCTTAAAATAAGATAATTAGATAATATGCACTTGAAATAAGACAGTGCAATTGTGTTTTCTTATTTTAAGTGTAAATTGTCTTGTTCCATTGGCAAATGTCTCTTTTACCTCCTCAATTCAAGAACAAATGCACTTATTTTAAGAAAAAATGAATTATCTAGATTTAGACTTTTTGCAGTGTGCATGAATGGTCAGTGTGAGGGATTGCTGTACAATACCAGTGAATGTCTACTGCCTCTACATACATCATACAATTAAATGATGGGATGCAATCAACTGGTTCTCCTAGGTTAAAAAAATGTTTACCAGTCTGACTGTATGATCTGATTGAATTATCTTTTTTAAAATTCCTAAAGATGTCATTTTGGTGTGAATTGATCACATTTCAATACATTGAATTAAATGTAAGGCTTACAGGTCAAGAATCTTGAGTGACTTTGTTTTAAAATTTTAACTGTGCTATTAGAAAACTAGCATAATTAACACGGTGCTTACATGATGTAGGTCACGACTCCGACAGTCCAAATATCAGAAGGAGGACCGACGACTTCCCCCTTTACCATCTCAGGAGCTTATTAGAAAAAGTAAAGAAATACATGTAAAAATTCCAATATTTTTTTCTGCTCTCTTTTGAAGAGAAATCATCTGTAACGTGTCCTCACCCATGTAGTCCAGCGTTCCTGCTGCTGTGATCTGGGGTTCTAGCTTGAGTGGGTTGAAACTCTGAGCACTTCCAAAGTCTACTATCTTAACGACGTTCAGGTTGGTCACTAAGATGTTCTCCGGCTTCAGGTCTAGATGGAGGACTCTGTGATTGTGGAGATACTCCACAGCCTGAAGAATCTGAACCAGGTAGCCAACCACATCGTCCTCGGAGTAACGAAACCTTTAGAATAAAGGAGCATTGGAAAAGACGCCTTAGAATCTATCCACACAGAGACAAGATTTAGTAGAAATTAGAAAAGAAATTTGAATGTAGAATAAAAAAAAATGAATATGAAAACAATAATAAAAGTTTTACTAAATGCATTGCATTTTTTTCAAGTTTCAGGTAATGAAATGTGTTTTGTTTAAACCAATAACGGAACAAAATTCACTCCATACATTTTTTGGAAGCCCATTAACGTTCGCTTTGTGTTCGATTTCAGAGGCTGCATCTTCCAACACTGGAAAAAATCGAAATCTAGATAAGTAATTTTTTCTTTAAATAAGTGCATTTGTTCTTGAATTGAGGAGGTAAAAGAGACATTCTGCCAATGGAACAAGACAATTTAGAATTAAAATAAGAAAACACAATTGCATTGTCTTATTTCAAGTGCATATTATCTAACTGTCTTATTTTAAGAGTAAAAATACTCATTCCATTGGCAAACTATCTAATTTACCTACTTAAAGTAAGGATAAATGCACTTAATTTAAGAAATTCTTACTTATTTCTAGAGCGTTTTTGCAGTGAAGCGCCCGGTCTACCTGGACCGGCTCTTTTGAGGTCCGGGAAAATAACGAGGCCGGAAGGGTTTAGCTATGGATTCAAACAGGCCCAGCCTTCTCCAGCTTTAACCGCCCGTATGCTCTGTTGTGTAGCAACAGTTGACAAAAAAAGCAGGCGAAGAATGGATACCGAACTTCTTTTACTGTTCTTGGTGCTAATAACATTTTGGAGGAGCAGCAGTACCATTGTGGCGAATATCATATTTATAGTCCCCACACTGCAGATATATTGGAATCTGTGCTTACATGGCAGCAAAATCCATTTGCAAAGGGAGAGATAAACTCTTTTAGTAAAACAAACATTATCTGCCACATATTTGACTCAATAACCATTAAAAACAACTATTTTCATTTATTTAAGATGGAACTATTCACATACAATAGTCACCACTGTTCGGCGCAATTAACCTTTTTCCTCTGAGCACCTAGCAGCCGGCCTGCAATGAATCATGGGATACCCAAGGTTGCGTAGGACACACCGGACCCCTACTTCAAAACGGGCAAAAAGAAGGCTGCATTTGGTGACCGCATAATGAGAAGTCTTGCAATCCGAACAGACCTCGGCGCCACACTATGACGTAATCGGGCGACGAATCTGGCCTTCAGAGGACGTAGCCGCTGAATTGGAACTCAACAAGAGTCCCTTTACACCTTCCAAAACACCAGTTTCAGTGCATTTCTATGCAACAGTGCCACCGAAGGGCTTGCCATACATACTACATTGTCCTTACGAGATGGCTGTGGACTGGCTCTCTCCCTAAGCATGTCGTTTCCTTTCCTACCTGTCGGCGAGGCTGTTCAGCACCTCTCTGCCCGTGCAGTACTCTGCCACCAGCACGAGGTAGCGCGGTGTGACGTAGGCCTCGTGGAGAGCCATGATCTTCTCGTTGTGAAGCGACTTGAGGATCTCGTATTCCTTCAGCACTGCCTGCTTGCTCTCCTTGCTGTAGGGGATGATTTTGGCCATGTAGATTTTCCCCGTGGCGTTCTCTCTACACTCCCGGATCACCCCAAAGCGACCTCTGAATAAAGGAAAAAATAATAAATAAGGCGTCTTAACTTTCTTTGCTTGACTTAAACAGAGTATCTCACCTGGCCTTCTCCTCCAGGAAGGTGTAGGGTTTCTGTGGAACTCCCTGTCGCAGGGCAGTAGACGGCGTGGCGCGTCCAGACGGTGCCCCGTCCGCTATGGGGCTCAGGCTAGAGGTTTGGAGAACTTGTGGGGAAAAGGACACGGGGGTGGGAGCCACGCGAGCGGTGGCGGCAGTGGCGGGGACGTATGTGGGCACCGACGACACTGAAGGCTTGGTAGCGGAGGGAGGTGGGGCTACAAGGGGGGGTGAGGACTGGGTCATAGGGGTCACCACATTTACTGGACTCTGAGGCTTTAGCGCCACAAAGGAGGGAGAAGGCTTGACCATAGGGGGCGGCAGAGAGCTGCTCTGTTTCTCCTCTGGAGCTGTGCTCATAGATGGAGGGTCAGAGGTCAGAGGAGTAGAGGCGGTTCTGAGATCTGGGTCGGGTTTGAGCAGAGGGCATTTTGGCTCTGGCTCAGGTGGAGTAGAGACGGTTTTTACTACAGCGACAGGCGGCGAAACTCCTCCACCTGCTTAACAGAAACAAAACATTCATCGTCAGCCTGGAAACGTTGACGGGATTTAATGATCAAAACATTCCTTCTGTAAAAAATTGAGGATGCTTGAACGCATTTTTCTTCTTCTTTGGTAGTTTCATTTTTTGCCACATATCTGCCCCCTGTTGGCAGATCATGGTAGTACGATTTAAATGGCTGCAGTCAGTTTTATTTTGTATATTATCGTCATTTGCCTGTTTCCACCTTTTTTATTTTCTATTTTAACCAACATCTCAAGTTTCCGAAGATAAAAATGTAGCATAAGAAGAATTTTTTGATGATAAAAATTAAAAAATTAAGACAACAAATGAAATAAGGACACAATTTTGATCAAATGTCAGTTCAACCCAGCATGACTTTTTATTTATCTCTTTTTCTTCTTACATAAAAGCCTTTTCATTGGATTTCATAAACCATTTAATCACTTTGGTGTTAACAGCTAATTCAAAGCAGGCCATTCTATTTAAGGTAATTTTCTTGGATAAAATCTTTGCTTCTTTTTCATAAATAACAATAAAGGTTTTAGCTATATTTCCCTTTAAAGTTTTTTTATTTCTGTTTTCTCAAATCCTATTTTTTTCTTTACTGTAATTTACTGTAGTGAATTTGTTGCAAGCAAAGAACTTGTGTTGTAAAATGATTAAAAAAATCAGATGTAAACCGAAATGAAAAAAACGCGATCCTGAAATAAAACTTTGATGAATATGTTAATCAACAAAAGATTTTGAGAGTATCTATGCTGTTTTCTTAGATTTTCTTCCCCTGAATTTGTTGTTTTGTATTTTTCAAATGGTATTATTGAAAATTCTTTTTAATTTAAATTAAAATTTTTCATATAAAATTTTTTATTTTCTGGCAGAGCTTTGCATTCTGGCTTTCCTCTGGCATTAAAAGTGAAGAAGCATTTCTATTGGTTGTTCATAAATTATTATTATTTTTCTTTTCAGGTCCAAGTGCCCATCAAGAGGGAGCATTTGTATTGGACTTTTAGAAAATCTGGTCTGTAAAAGGTTATTTAAAAGGATTCAAGGGAACTTGAAACGAAAATGGATAAAAAAATCACATTTGTAAAACACATTGAAAAAAAAAAGGGAAAATATAAATTATTAAAAAAACAAAGAAGAAATTTAAATAAATGCTAAAAAAAATGACAACAAAAAATATTTCTTTGAATAAAATGTTTTTAAAAACTTTTTGTTTTTATATTTCCATTTCCAAAATATGTCCTTTGCAACAATAATAGTACAAAACTTATTCCATACTCCTCTCCCTGCAATTCCTTAGTCAACTTTTGATTTTCTTTCTGTTGGCTAAATTCTAAAAAGAAGTCCTCTCTCCTGATCCTATAGATTCACACTTTAACCCACCTAGTGAGTCCAGGCAGACTGGAGAGGAGCAGTTGCTGTGAGGTCCTTGTCCTGCCTTGTTGACACAGGAGACTCTGAACTTAATTGTGCCCCCTGGTGGCAGGTCGGTGGCATTGTAGTAACAATCTGCTATTCCAGTGGCCACAGTAACCCAGCTGGACTCGCCTAAAGGACAAGATCATAGAAGAAATGCAAACATTTTACAGCAGCAATCAAGTGTTAAAACTTACACAACAATTAAACTGAAAAACACAAGCAACAAAAAAAGAATAAAATGTCTTGTAGTTACTATCATGACCGCTAGGTGGGAGCATTGGCATGATATTCAAATCAATGCTGCCGGAGTCTGAATTCCTCAGCAGACCAAGTGAACAAATCAGTTTGAAATGAAAGCTGACTTTGTTACTTTATTTAAATGTTTAAAAAAAAATCAACATTACTTTTAAAAATTCACATTTTTAAGAGAATTCAGGTCTTTTACTCATTTCAAATACAAAATACAAAAGCTGCTAAAAAATTGTGAAGGAAGGAAGGAAACAAGGAATGAAGGAAGGATCCAAGGAACGAAGGAAGGAAGGAACAAAGGAAGGAAGGAAGGCCCCATGGAACAAAGGAAGGAAACAATGAATGAAGGAAGGATCCAAGGAAGGCAGGAACAAAGGAAGGAAGCAAGGCCCCATGTAACAAAGGAAGGAAACAAGGCACGAATGAAACACAGAATGAAGGAAGGATCCAAGGAACAAAGAATGGAACCAAGAAATGAAGGAAGGATCCAAGGAATGAAGGAAGGATAGAACAAACATAGGAACGAAGGAAGGAATGAACAAAGGAAGGAAGGAAGACCCTATGGAACAAAGGAAGGAAACGAGGAACGAAGGAAACACTGAATGAAGGGAGGATCCAAGGAACAAAGGACAGATCCAAGGAACAAATAAAGGAACCAATGAACAAAGAAGGGAACCAAGGAATAAAGGAAGGCTGGATCCAAGGAAGGAAGTATGTAACAAACCAAGGAAGGAAGAAAGGTAACAACCAACGAAGGAAACACACGGGAAGAAGTGAACAAGGACACAAATAGGGAAGTAACAAAATCAAGTCGATACATTGTTAAGGAAAAATAAAACAAAATTCATAAGTATGAAATAAAGAAGGTAATGTCTGGAAGGATTATAATAAATAAAGTTAGAGCAACCAGGAAAAGGAAGGAGAAAATAGGGAGAATAAAGGGAAGATTCACAAAGAACGAAGAAGTTAAAAACAAAAGAGGAAAGATGAAGCACAGAATAAAGGAAGGAATAAAGGAAGAATGTTAACTTTAGAAAATGGGAATTTAATAAACACCTTAAACTAACTTCCAGACCTGTTTGTTCTACCTAGAAACCCTGCATGTCTGCGTCACCATCTTTGTATCCAGCACATGAGGAGCTGCTGATGATTCAGTGTAATGACAGAAAGCTCTGGCGAACCATTACCCACTTAAAAGCTGACTCACTGGATGTCATTAAGACTGTCTTTATGGAGTGGGAGGCTTTATCTCCCAACAGCATCCTTTAACTTCAGAGTCTGTCAACCACTAACCGGGTTTGGAAGGATCCATTGTTGTTTCCTCTGCCTGACAGTTACGCACGATGGGAGTTAATTAAAAAAACAGAGAGATGAGACACTCACCTTCGGTTTTCCTTTCCAGGGAGTAGCTGCACGGGGATTTGGTGTCTGATGGTTTCCACAGAACCAGAGCTGTGTTGTTGTAGGTCTGAGCTACTTCAGGTGTCCCAGGTCGTTTTGGAACAGCTGGAGTGAACGGGTGGGGGAATCGATGGAAAAGAAAAGACATATAAGGCTAGTATTTATCTGAAAAGTATGGAGTGAATTTTTTATCCATTATTGTAGCAAGTAAAGATCATAATTAATTTAACATTAAAATAAAAAAAAACAAAAACAAATGTTTTTATTTTCTCAGATGTTTAAGAATTAATTTCTTCATTTGTTTTTTCCCCCCCTCAATTTTATATTTTCACTGTATTTCCCGTCTTCAGATGGAGTTTTACAAATAACATTCATTTCAAAATGTATTTTACAGAAAACCTTCTCTTCACTTCAAGGTGAAGGACTTCCCTGTGGAGTAAAGAGGGAATATGCATTTCTACTGGGCTGAATTCAACTTTTTTGAAATAATTACATTTGAAAAAAACAAAAAAACAAAAACAAAATAATAATAATAATATACATACATATATATATATATATATATATATATATATATATATATATATATATATATATATATATATATATATATATATATATATACACACAAATAATTGAAAAAAAAAATGAAAATCATAGAAATCTATGGAGGGATTTAGGGGGGCTGTGTAATTTTTTTTTAATTCGAACACAAGAAAAACATTTTTTGAGAAAGAGTTCAGAAAAAAACGCATTTAGAATTCCTTTGCTGTTACTTTCTTGTATCAAACATTTATTTAATTCCCTAATGTGCTGTTTACATTTATCATTTCTGTTTAATATTGCTTGTGGGTCATAATCTGATGCTTCTTTGACACTTAACTTTACTCAAATAAACAAACAAACCAAAATATCTAATAGTTCCTTTTTTTTTTTTTTTTTTTCAGTAGTCATTAATATATTATGCTGGTACTAGTGTACCCATCAAAGGCACTGCATTAAATATGTTTCAGGGATTTAACAGTTCTCTAACCTCGACTGATGCAGTAAGAAGCTCTGCATTCCTTTAGGCCAGAACGCAAGTTAAATCATTTATATATTATGCAATGCAAATTAAAATAAACTACAGCAGATCAGAGAAATACATGCCTCCCCAAAAGGCAGCGAATGGTTGGAAGTATTAACGACTTTTACTGATGCAGGACATAATGAACTATGTAGACTCCAACGTCTTTAGAGAACTGCTGGCCCATGCTCATAAAAGGGATTTCACACTGCAACACGAATGGTGAGTGCGAGTGATCCCTGATGTAGAGGTTTGTTCAAGAGCAAAGCAGTGCAAAAGACGTGTTTTTAGTGATGCAAACATGCAGGTAGAGCTCTTCCGAGCTCTGGTGCGTCTTTCTGTCTGGTCTCTGGGTCTGATCTGACTGCCTCATTATCTCACCTCTTTTATTCCAGGGATTGTACCCCAGAACGGGTCCAGGTCAGATGGAAGTACCATTGGAAGCGGCTGTGATCCAGCTCACTCACACTTTACAATGTTTTGCCCTTTTTGGGCCGATTTTCTAGTCATTTGAGATTTTTTTATATCGGGCAGAGTTTCAGCCTCATTGTGCGTCCTGCGTCGTGTAGTATACAGGGTGTAACGAGGGGTGATCAGCCCTTTACAACCACCTCTCGATCAGGAATCGAGGTTGGGAGAAAATCTAACTTGACTGAAATTCAGTCAGCCCTCGTGAGGTATTCGTGGGCAAATCCTGCTGTTGAAGCAGAGCCACGAGCGTCTATGAGCCAATTTACCACAACCTCACGATTTTCTTCGTACAGTTTTAGCTGTAGTGGCATGCAAATAACATCGTACAATGTGTGTTCAGCCTAAAGCAGTGGAGAAAAGCTTCACTTCTCCTATTTGATGACTCAATAAAGTGAGTGTAGCTTTGTCGCCTTTTGGCCCGGCAAATTGCTAGCGAAATGTCAGACAAAGCTCACTGACTACGGCTAGCTTCCTTACATGTCTCTCTCCATTGTTTACTTTGTAAGTTTGGGCTCCCAATAAAGGACATATTCTTCTTTAAAGGATCATTATCAGGTTGAAACGCCCATTACGACAATATCTAAATGAACCAAATGGACATTATCTGGACCAACTAACTATAGCATAAAGGTTTCAGACATTCAGCCTTCCTGACAAACACAAATGTAAGTACAGCATACTTTAATGCACAGACAGCTCAGTTCTCCTATGGCAAGTACACCTAAACATTAATGCAACTCCCAGAAAGAAAATAAAGGAAATATAGTTGTGTTTTTAGGTCACAACCAGTCTGTTCAACAATAGATGCTAAAGGTAGTTAAACGGCAACACTGACTTGATCGAAATACAGCAAATCAGAGTTCCTATCTCTTATTCCTTCTCCTTCCCTGTGATCAACAGTAAGAAGAATATCATGGCTAGAAAGGAAGTCCAGACTGCCAGTATCTGGACAGCCTTTAGCCTTGCCTACCATACATCATTATGTAATAAATCGCACATAGCTAATGGTAATCAAATGTCCCACAAATGTAGCAAATGGGTAAACTTCTCCATAATAAAAATCTAATAGCGAATACATTAAGAGCTAATATGTAATGTCACACACAGGAGTGTGGGATTCTTTATCACTCTTTAGCACCAGATGGGTACATCGCATGCCCTATGCTAAACTAGAAATTCATTCAGACAGCACAGATCTCTAGCTCATTGTGTGATTTCCACCTTAAGTTAATCCCTATATTCACAGAATCTTTAAAACATTTTTGGATCCGGAAGGTGATTCGGATCACCACCAAATTTTAATAATTTGTTGCCCGTCACAATACATGCCTTTACAGAAAATTTTGGCAAAATCCATCCATACCCTTTTTAAGTATTTTGAAACAGACAGACAAACCAATGGCAAAGAAAACATAAGCTCCTTGCAGGAGGCAATGGACTTAAGTTCTTCTCAATTTGATGTATTTAGGTTGAGCCACTGTATTTTGTTCAGTTAGGTATTTTCTAGCAACCACTATGCTATTTTTGTCTTTTCAGAGCAGTCCTAGAGAGCCACACTCATCATACCGGTTGCTGTTTGGGCATGAGCCCCTGCAGCAAATATCAATCATCAATTAAATAGGTGCTAAATATATGATTAAGTTAGCCTAGCATAAAGTCAATCTGCTTGCATTAATATTCCTTACAGCTGCAATAGCATTCGGACAAATCTCTCCGCAATTAAAATTCAATAATGTAAAATGTTTCATTAGGAAAATTACTGTATGGCTTTGAAGTGTAAATAAACATCTAAACATTGTAGGGGGGGAAGTTACAAGTATTTAAGTAGATTTGGGAAAACGGGAACCACTTACAAGCTACAGAAACTGTGCAAGAAGTTGTGATAGTAGCGATTGGGTTGGTCGCAACACATTCGTACACCCCAGCATCTTTGTGGCCACACTTCTGAATTGTAAGGAGTTGCCTGCCGTCAGGGTGGGAGATGCATTTGGTCCTGCTGTCAGTCACCTCCAAGGGCTTCCGGTCTGGAACGCAGGGTAAAAACAGAAAAGAAATCAGCCTCAGTGTTTGATTAAATATTAGTTGTAAAAATTGGGTATTTGATATTACCCTTCATCCATGTGATTTCTGGGTGTGGACTGGCAGCTGGAAGGCAACTCAGAGTCACATCTTCCCCCTCCAATAGGACGTGGTCCTTTAGTTTAATGTGGAACACCGGAGCAAAATCAGAAGCAGAGCGGATGAACTGCTGGCTTTTTGTCAGACCTTCCTCTTTGGGTGCAGGTGATGGTAAGTCAGACTGGGAGGGAGTTTTCTCTCTCTTGCCTCTGGTCAAGCCCCACCTGTCCCACCGCGATCGTCTCTCATTTTCTGAGGCTTTATCTGACTGGATACTAGAGGTGGAGTCAATTGATTCCTTGGATGTAGCAGTGCCAGTTTGCTTTGCCAACTGATTTTCAGGAATGCCCATTCCTTTGAGTCCACGGCCTTCAGAGTGTGAATGACGATGTCGAGCAAGCAGGGGTGTGCTCCTACCCTCTCCGTCTACTTTTCTCTCTTCTGACTGACTACGGATTTTGGAGGATATTTCCGCCACTTTGTTCTCAAACTTGTGACGTATTGCTAGAACAGGAGATTCAGAGACCTTGTTGATACCCTTTTGAACAAGGTCCTTTTGACTCCCCTTTGCCTCTTTTGCTTTTCTCTCCTCTGACTGACTTCGAATTTTTGCAGAGATCCCTGCTACTTTGGACTCAAACTTTCGCCTCATGGCAGAAACCGATGACTCGTCAACTGTTCTGGGTTCTCTCTCCTGAGACTGTCTCCTCTCTCCAGCAGCGTTCAGATCCTTTGTATCTAGAGACTTACTGCGCCCGATAGCCCATGAAACCCTCTTGTTTGCAGCACTTTCCTGTATATTTGGTCGCTTTTCCTCTTTTTTCTCAATAGAAGTAGACCTCCTTCCTCTTAATGAAAACCTCCCCATCAGACCAAAGCCTGTGTCCCTATCAGCCTCTCTTAAATCTTGGACAGACTTGGATTTCTCCTGAAGTCCCGAGGAAACTACTGCAAGAGGTGCACCTCTGGGTCCCGGCCTGTAAATATCCTCTCCCCCTTCAACTGTCTTGCGGCTCAACACTGGGGATTTCTCATCAGATCTGTTTCTGGTCAGTTTACGGAGTCCCCGGGTCAGGGATGACTCGCGTTTCTTGAACTTTGCCTCAAAGACCTCTTCTGAATCAATGTCTTTAATGTCCGTTCTTAGAACAGGTTGGCGAGGGATGATGGTAAGATCGGGGTTTGAAGATGAGGGAAGAGAACCAGGATGTCCGTCCCCCTTTGCCACTTTGGCAAACACAGCTGGATGCTCAGGTAATGGAGATATATCTAAGGGGTTCAAGTCGTTTGGTTTGTGTGAAACAGTAAGGGATTTTGATTGGGCCAGTTGATATGGTACAGCAACTCTAGTCTCTACAGTCATGCTACCTTCTGTCCCTTCCACTTCCATAACATTTTTAGGGGATATAACAGAGGCAGATTGTGTTTCAGATTCTGCTTTGGTCCTCTCTTTTTCTACCTCTGCATCCAAATGTTCTTTCAAATTGTGATTATTTTGCAGTTGATCTATATTGTCTGCAGCTGGGAGATCAGAGCGGGCATTTTCTCCTGGCGAAGTTGATGTAGACTCCATTGTAGCTTGTTCAGTGAGTGCAGACATTGATATTGCTTCCTGAAGTTTCTTTCCTTCTGTGCTAGCAATGGAAGAAGAGGAAGTAGAAGGTATCTCCAAGGGGGCTCCAAACCTACGGTGCAAGGGCATAGGCTCTGAATCCCCCTGTGAAAAGGAGACACTTTTACGAAAAAACTTAGTCTTTGGCGTGTCTTCTCCGGAACTTTCACATGAGGCTGCTTTGGTAAGGGTTGATGGCCCTTCCCTGGATCTTCTTAAACTTCTCTCAAGAGACCCTGTCTGCCTTTCTTCATCAATGCCAAGAGTTTCAAACAATGGCCCTCGTAGGCCACTCATTTTTTTATCAACGCTTCCTCCCCTGAGCAGCCGTTGCCTCATTAGCTCTAGTTTTAAAGCATAATCTTCCTGACTTAATATTTTGGCCCCAGGGCTTGAGCTGCGATTGGGCAGTTCCATAGAAACAGCCTTTTTTAGGCCCTTCTTACCTCCCTCTGTGCTCTCATTTGCATTTTGTTCTTCTGGGTCAATGTGAAGAAGAAGAGCTGAATCTGCAGAGCTGCCTCTTCTCATGGTACCCCTCCTGGCTTTTGTCTGTATTTCATTCGACTCTGTACTTGATCCTTTCTTAAGGTCTTCTCCTTTAGCCTTTCCAACTCTCTTTTCAGTTTCAGCCTCATATAACATGGTTTTATTCCCCTCTGCTGTAGAGCTGTCTATACCCACAATTTCTTCTTTTCTTTTACTACTGACATCAGCTATTGGGAATCTGGCATCTTCATCTCCTGGGATCTCATTCAGAGAGACCCTGGACCCAGAGAAGACCATGGACAAGGGCATTGGAATAAATGGCAGCTCATCGACGTCTGCGTCCGAATCTGAAGAAGAAGAAGGAGGCGGGGAGCCTTCTTTCAAATGACGGGCAATGGCTATTGAAAGGTGGCTGGAGGAGTCATTCAGGAGCTCTGGGATTGACCTCATCACCATCTTTGATTTATAGTTGATAAGGGAACGCTGAAATAATAAACACAAAAGACCCGGGGTAATTTCTTATAATGTTTTACTATAAAAGGTTTGTTAATATCAGCTCCAACAGCAACGAGGGGTTGAAACAAATACAAAAATGAAAGTAAAAATATGAATAATATGAGGCCCCCAGTTTATCACATGCATGGTGCAATTTTTATGTTACATTTTTAACGTTGCATGAGCTAAACTAACGTTAGCTTAACAGTATTACAACAGTAACAGAGTATTAAAAGCAAGAGAGCACAGAGATAAGGGTCTCATTGTCACACAAAATGTTCAAAAAATGAATGTGGGGGTAGTTTGCATGTGTGTCTTAAATGAAACTGCTTGTTTGATTATTTGCTACACTTGTGCCTTTTTGGCAGAATTCTGAGTTGCTTTCTGGAATAGGGTTGCCAACCGTCCCTTTAAAAACGGAATGGTTCCGTATTTAGAAATAGAAGTACCCGTCACGTATTTAGTGGAAAAGGAACGCACTTTGTCCCGTATTACTGTGACAGTAAAAAATAGAAAATGAAGCACAATGGCGCTTTAGATACAAAACTTACGGTAAACTTGTTCCCGGACCCTGTCCTGCTTTATGAGCAATGAGCTGACAACATATATGTAACGATCCAGAATACCCTCATCCCATTGGTCGAGCCAAGTGTTGCTCACGGAGAAGATAGCGGGAGACAACAGAACAGTATGGGGGTAATTTAAATGCTGACTCTGCTTTACTCAGTATTACTCTGCAGCACTCAAAGAAAAAACAACTCCTCACTGCTGCAAGAGCTCAGAGTAAATACAATGGGAAAAAGTAGGCTATCCCCACATAATGTGGCGTTGAGCTAATGATTTTTTTTTTCTGTTTTACAACTTTAGCCCACAGTCATTGCTCTTAAGTTTGCTGTTGCACCAAGAATGTGCAATGTTTATTTATAGTTTTATATTAATTTTTACAGTTTGAAGTTCAGCAGGACAGACTTATGTTTAAGATACCTATTTTAATCAGTTTGTTATTTTATATTAAAGTGAATTGCTAGATGATAATTTGTTTTCCATGTGTTCATTCACAATCACTCACAAATATTTATGTAATTTAATGCAGATTTGAGTCAAATAGTTAAAAAATCATTTCACACACAAAGGGGGACTAAAAAAAAAATCACTACGCCAGGAGGAGGCAATCAGGTCAGCAGGCACGCACATGAGGTGTCCCTTTTTTCTTTTTTTTTTTCAAGGAGGTGGCAACCCTATGCTGGAGGCACTGTGAATGTCCAGGCAAATCTTACTTAATTCATTATTTTGTTCAGAAAGGTCCATTTTTTTTCTTTACCAAAAAAGGGATATCAGTGTCTCTTTATCCTCACAACGCTGAATAACAAACTCTATGCCTGCTGAACAACCTCCCATTTGTCTTACCTGCCACCGCCTTCTAGCGATAACCTGCTTCAGCATAGCCGTGCTGATGCTCTTATTTGTAGGTGCCTATAAGGCAAAACACAGGGTTAGAGTTTTAGGTCATTGACTTCAGTTAAAGTATAAATAAATCTTCAAAAGAAGAGGCATTGTTTTACTTTTAAACAGTGGATCACCTTGAACCAAGGATGACGAAGGCACTCTTTGGCATTTGGTCTCCTGGAAGAGGGAAGATTAAATATAAAGCAGTGCAAAAGTATTTAGACTTCCTTCAACTTTTCCACATTTTACCATGCTTATATTAGCAACTCTGGGTTGATCGGTCAAAACAACAAGAATGCTATTACCAATAAAAAATAATTATAGTTTCAGGCATCCTAATATAAAGAAATCTTAAAAGTGTGGCAGTCAGCTGATTATAGAGACATACTTCTGGGACCTATCAGCTTTATACACGTAGTGTATGACATTTTTTCTCCTCTCTTTGTAAATTTAATATGATTCATTAAAAGAAAAGTAGAGCTTTTTCCATTTATAAACAAATTCTCAATAGGATTTTGGTTTGGACTTTGACTTGGCTGTTCTTACTTATACTGAATTTAAGCAAAAATAAATACAAAACTACTTCAAGTACAAGATGAGGCTGAAAACACACCAAAATTAACACACAGGCACTCAAAAACTCTTTAAAAATGATTTGCTGCAAGCGAAGAAATTACTAAGCAGCAAACTGCAAACACAAAACCCACTATTAGCACATAGGTGATGTGTGAAACCATTGTTGTTGCCATCTTGACTTGTGGTCTTCTTTCTACTTGCAGTTCTTTTATGGAGTGTCTTTTCCACCATTATTGGTTCAAGTTAATTATATGCGTTTTAAATTGAAATAATAAAAATGTAATCCAGAAATTAAAATTAAAAAAAATTAAATAATGATCATTTTAAAAACGGTTTGGAGAGTAGCCTTGCTGTTATGTCAGATTTATTTTTTATTTTTTTTTTAATAACATTTATAAACTTTACACATTTTTTTTTATCAAACATAGTTTTTTGGGGGGGTACCTGCTGTTTTCTGAGATAAAAATTGTATTTAAATTTTATTCTTCTTGTATTTTAGTTTTCTCTCTCTTTATTTTCAGATAAAAAAAATGTTCATATGTCATAAGTTTTAAAAATTGCAACCTTTTCAAACAGCATTTGAAAAGCATGAAAAAATCTCTAAGCTAAGACTTCAGCAACAAGTATTTCTTTATGACTCCATACTTCAAGCTCAATGTAAATCCTGTAAATAAAGAGAAAAAAAAACATTCTAAAAATCTAAAAAAAAAAAACAGCAGTTACTCCACAAAACATTTTTTATTTAAAACGTTTGTTAAAAGTTTCATTTTATGTGCCTATTTACAAACTCATTCCATGAATCTTTTCTACAACAACATTTTGGTTGTCAGAATGATTTATGTGTTTGAAGCAAGTTTTCGCTTTCTTTGCAAGATATTCCATTTGAACTTGTGTGTTAGCCTATTTTTTCTTTTTAAAGCTAATTTATATTTGAAGTACTTTTATATATGCTTTGCCTTAATGTATATGCACTGGTTTTGCACCTATATTAGTTTCTGTTTCTTTTTAAACCTCTTACTGTTTCTTTCATTCTTGATTGTTCTATGTTTAGCTATAGCTAACGCACTCCCTGCTATATAAGGGATCCCGCAGCATGATGCTGCCACTAGCAACGTTGCAGACAACTTGTATTTTTTATTTTACAATACAGTCTTTCACTCTCTGTAGAGGTTCAGCATTGATTAACAGACGCTCACAGCCTGTCCACCACCAGCAGCTTGATGACGAAACCCTTGGCCTCCCTGCAGAGGTCTGAAAACATGGCCTCCTCGAATGCCACGTTGTAGTTCCTGATGTTCAGCGCAGTGGCTCTGTCATTCTCACCAGCAAACGGAGACACTCCAGTGAGACTGGAACACAAACATATTAGGGTTCATTTATTTTTCAGTTTGATGCATTCCAGGACTAAATATTTGACTGAAATCTCTGCAGCCTACCAGAGATAAGTGATGACTCCAACAGGCCTGTGGAGAGCAGGAAGTGGATTACGACATGCTAATCTATGGCTTCCAGTGGAAGTAAGAGTCGCTTATCAAGTCTTGGAGGCGGGAGGCTTACCATATGTCTGTTGCCGTGGAAATTGGAGTTTGGTTAACAACCTCTGGAGCAACATACTCCGGCGTTCCGTATTTGCAGTAATACTCCTCTGAAGTTTCCAATTTCATGGCGTTCCCAAAGTCACAAATGCGGATTTGGTCGCTTCCTGGACTTGCCATTAAAATGTTTTCCGGCTAAAGGGGACATAAGTGTAAGTGATATGAGTAGCTACCCCTGATTAATAAACGATGATCATTGTAGGGATGCACCAATACCTTTAGGTCGAGGTGAGCTATGTTTTTTTGGTGAAGATACCGAAGCCCTTCCAGAATCTGTTGAACCAAGCTCCGGATCTGCATATTGAGAGATTATAAAAAAAAACGATTAACTTTAAAGTTACGTGACATGGCTGCAAAGCATCGAGCAGAGCAACACGCACCAGCTTCTCTGCGACCGTTGTTTTCTTCACCATCCTGTCCAACATTTCTTCGTGACATCTTCACAAAAAGCTGAGGGGAAAAAACCTGAACTGGGAGTCGACTTTATGATTCGAGTGGTGGGTGCAGGAGAGATGGATTACAAATGAGCAGAACTCCCACGCCTGCTATCTATTGCTAATTCCTCCCAGCAGCAATGAGTCAGAGAAGAGTAGCTGCATCATGTGTGCCCAAGGCAGCTGCAGAATACATTTGTTTTGTTTCCTTTCTGTCTAGAAATATCGACATTTTTCTTTCTAAAAGAGCTTGGGGAAAAGCTAAAGTCCAAGTGAAAGGATACAGCTCTGTGATGAGCACCACCACATTCTTCTTCTCAAAAGCATCGTGGAAATAAAGAATCTGGTCATTGTCCAGCTGAGCCAGCAGATCCATCTCCCTGAGGGCCGCTGCTTTCCTCTTTCCCCGGGCAGAGATGAATTTAGCAGCCAAATCCGTCTTCTCTGTTTTCAGCGTCACCCGTTTCACATAGGAGAACGCCCCCCTGGTTCAGCAGGCAAACAGAGAAGCATCATTAGTCCAAACATGTGTGTGTGTCTACCCTTTTTACATGACATCGTACATTGTCACTGTTAATGCTCATGTTAGTTCAATGTTTCGATGACTGTGTCCCCAAGCATGAAAGCACCCTGGGCAAGAGCCGGTTATCCAATTTAAGACAATATATATATATATATATACATACATATGTATATATATATATATATATATATATATATATATATATATATATATATATATATATATATATATATACATATACATATGTATTATACATATATATACACGTATATATATATATATATATATATATATATATATATATATATATATATATATATATATATATATATATATATATATATATATGGTCCCCATGGTTACAAATTCTGTTTTAGGCTTAGGTGTTAGGACAAGGGTGTGAATTTAGTTTAGGATTAGGGTTAGGTATGAACCCGCAATACTTAGGCTAAGGGTCACAGTTACGCTATAGATAGGTTACAAATGAATAGGTTAGGGTTAGGATTAGGGTAAGGTTTAGGCTGTAGAACTGGGTTAGAAATGAATGAAAGTCAATTGAAGGTCCCCACGATGATAGAGAAACGTGCTTGTGTGTTTGCGTAACAGAGAGAGGGAACCGGTAAGGAGTGAAACAGCTTTGTCGAACTTGTAAATCTGTCGTAAATGAGTTGTACTTGCATTTTTGCATAGTTGTAACTTTTTAACTTTTTTTTGTAACCTCTATACTTGTATTCTCATACTTAAAAAAATCTGATATCAAATATGTTGAACTCATAAAACAAATGCAATCTTACATTTATTTAGGTTTATTGAAAATCAATCTGCAAAAGAGAAATGTGAAAAATATGTTTTTAAATATAACTTACAATAATGGAACAAAATTCACTCCATACATATAGAGATTGCTGTGTCTAATTTGACATTTCATTTTCTAATAAATCCATCTGAAATTTGTTGGCCTTTATCTTTTCTCTATTTTCCCTTTTCCAAAGGCTAAACCTCTCTCTATGAGAGACGGACCCAAACAAATCCAGTGCCAGCTAATGTATTCACTCCACTCAGGATGGTGAGTCATCTCTGTTTCTGTCTGCTGTTGTTAAGCAGGTTCAAACCCGCCCCCTCCCAACCCATCCTACCACCCTCACCCCTTTAGGCTGACCCTGAGCGCACCAAAACCCATTAACGTCAGCTCCCTCGCTGTGTCTGAGGGGAGCTGCGGCGCCTCCACACACAAACACCTCACCTCCCTATTTCTTTGTGAATATCATAATAATCCGTCAAACGCCTCATCGTCCTCAGAATCTTCCCCTTGTCCTCCATGGGCTCGGCTGCTGCTGCTCGCTCTGCATGAAGCACAGACACAGGCGTTTAGAACGGAGCAGTGACAGATGGTTTGGTTTCATAGCTGCAGAGCGCCTCTTGGTTTCTGCCATATGGGGCAGATTTACAGAGCAATTTCCAAGCAAAAGCTAACTGCAGAGGAGAAAATATGGAGTGAATTTTATTCCATTATTGTTGCAAACAAAGAACATGTTTTTAAATGTAAATTTGGGGGGGTAAAATGCTTTTTAGTAAATAATAAAAAAGATTTTGAGAGTAAATTAGGTGTTTTGTATAATTGTCTTTTTCAGATTAAGTTTTATTGATTGTATTTTTTTCCAATTTCATTTTTGTACATGAAAAAACACGTTTTGTAAATTTAAATTTAGAAGAAATCCAATCCAGAAATTAAAACCTTGCAAAACTTTTTTTGAGAATTACTTTTTTGAGAATGACTTTGCATTTTCTATTATTTTTCTTTTTTTCCTCTTTTTTTCAATGTTTATGTATTCTAGGTTCAATGTTTAGGTATTTTACCCTTTGAAAAAAAGCGATCCAGAAATGAAACTGAAAATACTTCTTATGTAAAAGAGATGTTTTGAAAGTAAATGCTTTCTAAGATTTTGTTTTTTTCATTTTAAAAATAAGCTTTTTTTCAAATTCTGTTGCATATTTTATGTTTTCAAGTAAAAAAAAAATCATTTTAGTTTTTCAAATTCCTGTATTTCAGAATGGGTTTTGAGAATTGCAGTTTTTGAAAATCCGATTTGCAGATGACATTCTCTTCACTTCTGGGATCGGACTTTCCTCTGGAGAGAAGAAGCTTTTCTATTGGCTGCTTCGGCTGTTAGCAACAATATTTCTATTGGGCTTAAAGTGAAGAGAATTTCATCTGTGACACACAATAAAAAAAAAAAAAAAAAAAGACATAAAGATATAAATTCTGTGAAAGCTTTTAGAATAAATTAAGGATTAAAAAAAAAAAAACACTACCTTTAAAACCCTTTTCTGTTTAGCAAGGTTAAAAGTTTCCTTACTGGATTATATATTTATTGCATGGTTTTGCAACAATAATGGAACAAAATTGACGCCGTACACATTTCAGTTAAAACTCTGAATCTGAGAAGGCTGCTACACGTCTTTGTTTTTTATCTCACTAATTATTTCAAACTAATTATTTCTCTTCAGACCTGTGTGGACGGTGAGCTCGGCCTTGCAGGACACACAGCCTGCCACGTTCTTGGCGGTGCAGGTGTACACGCCACAGTGCTCCTCCCGCCTGGCGCTCAGAATCACAAGGGAATATTCAGGGTCGTCGTACACAAACTTGAAGTGGCTGCTCTCAGAGAGGAGCTGATCATCCTGAGAAAGAGCATGAAAAGATAAGCTCATGTTCATCACCCTTAAATTGACTAAGATGTTCTTTTAATTTGGAGTAAAGTACCTTAAACCACAGAATATCCGGATCTGGTTTCCCCTCCACCACTACAGCCAGCTGCGTTGTTTCTCCGACATGCACGTCCACGTCCTCCATGATGGATTCAAATTTAGGAGGAACTACAGAAGAAGTACAGTCAAACGTTGGTTTCTCATCCTTGACATTCTTCCGGGAAGTTTTCATTGAAATGCTGAAGGTGTCTGACCTGCCATGGCCAGCTGCAGCGTGCAGAGGTCACTACCAAACTGGTTGCTGGCTGTGACCACCAGCTGACCAATGTCGGAGCTCCTGACCCGCTGAATCCTCAGGGTGTGCTGATCGTCGTCCGGCATGCTCATCTCATACGATCCAAGCCTGTTGACTATAGCAACCCCCCTCCTGGAGACAAAGACGCATAAAGCCTCATATATAGAAGCAGCAGGGGACACCAAGAGAACAACAGCTCTTGGTGTTCCGCTTTCAAAGATGAAAATCGTGAATCATGAAGCAGCATTTATACGCTGTGCAGCCTAAGTATGACCTACTTATGGGACTTTATAGGTGTTACGTCATTTTATGAGTGTCAAAATATCTGGTGGATGAAAAAGAAGCGGACTCATAATTTCCCACAATGCACTTTGAAAGGAAGGGACTTCAATGGTCAGTAGACAAGCAAATATATTAGGGTGACCAAACGTCCGTATTTCCCGGGACATATCCGTATTTCACGTCCTGTCCCGGGCGTCCCGGGTTTTTTTTAGAAAGTGAGAAAATGTCCTGTTTTTTTAAATTACCTTCATTGGACCATTAAAGGAATAGTACACCCAAAACATGATTAGCCTTCATTTTCTACTCACCCCATGCTGAACAAAACTCTGGAGTACTTTTTTGATATCTCAAATGCATCTGGAGATCTGGGAGGCTTCTTTATTATTTGAATGTCAGCAGACAGCAAGAAGCCTCCCAGATCTCCAGATGCATTTGAGATATCAAAAAAGTACTCCAGAGTGTTGTTCAGCATGGGGGTGAGTAGAAAATGAAGGCTAATCATGTTTTGGGTGTACTATTCCTTTAAATTTACAGGCACTAGGGCACTGCGCACGGCGCTGCGTGTGACGTAATCCCTGAGCCGCGTCAGTGCGGGCAGCCCTGTTCTTAATGAGAATATAGATTGCATGGCTGTCAGTAAGCCAACAACATGCAAAAGAGCAAATGTATGTTTACCGACGATTTACAAAAGAGTTTCCCCTCTTTCAGACCAGGTCGAGACACATTGGAGGCCTTGTGCACAGTGTGCAAAGCAGGCACAGATGTCTCGGTGTCCAATGGAGGTGCAAGTAATCTGAAAAGCCACCTGGACACCGAAAGTAAAGATAGTCTATTGATATGTTTGTTTCTTTTTTGGTACATTTTGAGTTATTTCTGCTACACAAGAGGTATTTTTTGTTAATTAGCTAATTTGTTAATTTATTTTTTCCAATATCCTACAGAACAAACATTATTTCGTTCATTGCTGAGGCTGAGTATCATCCGTTATTGGGAGTTGAGAGTTATTGGTAACTTTTGTTAATTGAGGGATGTTTAGATGAGACATTATTTCTTTCATTGTGCTATTCATTCATTACAGGAATTGTTAAGCATTTTTAATAAATAAATGTTGAATAAAATTATCGTTTGTTATTGGAGTTATTGCTGTTGACTTTTACTGAAAAGCATTTTTAATAAATCAACTGTAAATATCATGTTATTGTAGGATTACGTAGGTCCCCCCCCCCGCTCCAAGGTGTCCTGGTTTTCCCAAATGAAAATATGGTCACCCTAAAATATATTGCAGAATGCTTTGCAAGAGCTCTCCTTGCAAAGGATCATGGGAGCCTTTTGGGACTAAAAAGGGACAAAGATGGCGCAGATACCATGGGGAGAGCCTGAGTCACATGACCAACTGGGAGCAAAAGAAGTGATCATCTGTAAGAACAGTCAGTTAACCGAGTTCACTATAAAGTCCTTTATGTAGTTCTGGAGGGGTCAGAGGACAGGATGGATGTTCAGACACAGCTATGGTTTGTTACAGCTATATGTCCCGCCTTAAACCATCACACCCCAACGTGACGGCAGACTCATTTTGGGTTGGATGGCTGAAGCGAAGCGGGACAATATAAATAATATAAAATATAAAATATAAATATAAAAAAATAACATTTGAATAAAACAAAACAAAAAGAAAAAGAACAGGAAAAAATAAATAAATATGAGAAAACAAATTAATATGAAGAAAAATGGAAGATTAAAATAAAAAGTTATCCTCAAAAACAGTTTTTAATTAGAAGGTTTTCAAAGTTTCATTTACAAAACAAGCTCTTTGCAACAATATTGGAACAAAATTCACTCCATACTCATGTGACAGACCTGAAATAGAGGTCTGTTCATAGATTTTTCAGTTTTTCCTGAGTAGAGCTTTAGCTCCTAGTTATTAGCCTGTGACATTTTTGAAAAGAAAAACCTTATTCACCAACCTTTTCCAGGTAACCACTGCATGCACGTGGTTCAGGGTGACGGTGATGTTCGCCGGTTGGTTCTCCACCACATAAACCACATCCGGTTTATCCAGAATAACAGGCGCTTTCCTCAAATACGGCCCTGAAGAAATCGAGAACAACACTGTGTTTAAGTTTCACCTCAGAGATACATTTTACACCAGCTGCGGGCGGCTGTGGTACCTCGGTCCAGAAGCTGGACCAGGTCGGTGGAGGGCGACGGTTTGCTCAGTGTCTTCCCGGTCGATGTCAGGACCCTGAAGGAGTAACGGACTCCCTTAGACAGCGAGCCCACGGTGTAAGTTGTCTCCTTCAGGTTAGACGCCACCACAGACCATTGGATGGATCCCAGAGGCTGCTGCTGCACCATGAACAGCAGAGAGCTGGCATCTGAAAGCATGCACGTATTTAAATTAAACAGCTTTAATTTAAATGCTTTTTTTTTCTCGGAATATATTCAGATTCTGAGCGAAGAACCCACCCAGTGAAGGGTCCAGCCTCTTTGGTGGCTTCCAACTAAGGGTTATAGTTTTCCCTGTGATGGCTTCAATAACTGGAGGTCCGTCAGGAGGGTCAGGAACGATATCTGTTAATCAAAAACCCAAAATTTAGAAAAAGAATCGGCATTTTTTTCAAGCAAACCTGCAGCCGTGGGGATGCAGCTACCTGTGACGTAGAGGTGAGCGTAGCAGGCCGATTTACCCACTTTGTTGGAGATGACAGCCTTGTAGACGCCGCCGTGGGCATGACAGGCGCTCCGAATGACCAGACTGTGGACATCCCTGTCTGGAGAACACATGGGAATGTCTTATTTATGCTCCAAGGAGGCGCTTTGATTGGTTTGTGACCTGGCAGCTGGCTTACGCTGAGTCATTTTTCGCTCCTCGCTGCTTTCGATGCGTTGCCCTTTGTGGTACCAGGCCATGGTCGGGTAGGGCAGGCCTGACACTTTGCATTTCAGCACTGCTTCCTTCCCTTCGATCACTTCCACGTCAGCCAGAGGCTTGACGAAGTCCGGCATGGTTCTTCTCTCCGACTCGTTCTCCAACACCTCGGGCTCCTCAGGGATTGATGGCATCTTTTCTAATTTTGCCCTGGGGATGAATCAGAAACCAAACACAATCCCTGCTGCAGTGACTGACTGACAGAGATGTAAACAGAACCTTCTGGGTTTTCACATTTGGATCATGTTTCAACCACAAAGTGGGATGCTGTGTGATAGAGAGGCATAAAGGACGGAAAAATGACTTATGGAAGCACATTTCTCAGCGATTACAAATGCAAATCATTTGGAGCATGTCCGACTGTTTTGCAAACAAAAGTATTTTTTTGTCCTTTATTACAGAATACCTAAAGTTAGGCAAGATCGGATTAAAACATTTTAAGACTTTTGATGCTTAAAGCTATTAAAGAGGATTTTTCTCAGAAATTAAGTTTCCAGATTCATCTAAAATGACTTAATTGATGGATGGCATTTTTACACTTATGGTTCCCCCCTAAAATAAAAATAAAATCAATAAACACTGGCCGTGGAGGTGCCAACAAAACAGTAGCCAATCCACATTGGCTACTGTCGAAAGTGGATTGGCTACTTCTTTGTCAATTAAACATTTTACGCACTTGCCACCAGATGATATTTACACATAGCCTGACGTAGTCCTACTCAGTTCTAGTCAGAATATGAGTCTGATGCTGCTCCATAGAGCTGTGATTATGGGGCGTGTTTCGAACGAACCAGGGAAAAAAATGCCTCTGCACTCAATTGGATAGACCTACAACCAATAAGAGCAACGGAGTGCGTGACGTATGTTAAGCGAGGCATAGTTGTTGTCAACAAAAATCAAAGCGTGCAGTTTCACGCCTAGAATAAGAAGATGAGCCTTGATCGCGTTTCTCTGTTCCTCTTTTAAAATTAATTTGCTGTCGATATCTTCTAGAACAGACCTAATAGCAGAATCTACTCACCTCAACTCTCCAGCGGCAGCCATTGTTGTTGTCACCCAAGCGCGCTTTGGTGACGTGGTTGATTACGTTACTGTTGATCATCTGTCGATCATCGTATAAAGCCCGCCCTGACAATTTGATTGGATCGCCAGATATTGGGCGAGCATACTCGCGCTACTGTTGAGCAATGCCAGACCGAACTTCCCGACCTCAAACGTTGTGGGCGGGACTAAGTTCGGAATGGCACCCAGGCTTATTTACACAGGCTCCAAGCGAAACTCGTACGCTGTTTGCCTAGCGGTCCGCTATCGCCTGAAGAACGAAGAAATACTCCTATGCTTGTTTTCTGCTGCAGCTTTTTTTTAGCTATTTGTTCACTATTTTGTGTAACCTGGAGCATCAATGCCCAAAAAGAATCCTGAAAAATCTAAGCGGGAAAGAAAGCCTTTTTTTTTCTAATCTAGGGTAATTAGCAAGACGTAAGCATTAGCTATAAGGATCAAACTTTTCTGAGGTTAAAAAATTTAGTTTATGTGGCGATTTTCTCACCTTTGAATGTTTTAATTACAAATATGCTGGATTAATTTTTATCCGTAGACCTTTATGGATAAATGGCATATAAACAATCTAAGCTTAGACTTATAACGTGGCCTCGGGATAGCTTTAAACGTAGGAAGTCAAAGTTTTATTTTAGAAATTCAGATTTAACATGCTGCTATATCTTCACTTATTGTGTTTTTGGTGCTCACAAAGTCCATAAAATGAAATTGGTGGTTGAATTGCAAAAAATGTTCTAAGGATGTATAACATACATGTATTGGTAGAAGTCTAACCAGTCTAATTTTCAAGCATACTGCCGTAAATACACAAAACGGTGCGCCGGTCCCGGTGTTATGTCAGGCTGGTATTTCTCAGCTTAACACAATCAGAGGTGTTTCTAGCATAGAGAATTTTTGCAAAGGAGGAGACCGATGCATGCACACAAACGACCTTCGAACATATCTTCCTCTTTCATGCATTTAAGTGGATTTAAGTTTGACTTTAACTGGTCCACACTTATGCATTAATGTCTGAAACTCACAATTTTTAGATCTGACCCAATTTGAACTCATTTGCAGAGCTCCCAATAGCTCTGTAATAGAGAGAAACGTGTTTTCTGCATTTAAAGTAAGAAAAGAACGACATATTTTTTTATTAAATTTGAAAAAAATTACGTACCGGTATATCTGAAAACGAAAAATTAAAAAAATTTGTATGAGAAAAAAGGCTTTGAGACGCATCAACCGTTCTGTTCTTTTTTACATTTTTTTTATTTTTATGTTTTAAAATTCTTTTTTTTTTTTTTTTTTTATTCAAAGAAAAAAATGCAATTTTTTTGTGTTATATTTAATTACTTTAACATCATTTCTTCATGTCCTGCTTTGCTAACATGAAACAATTGTGGTAAAGTAACTACAGTAAGTATGACTAAGTAAATGCCAAAAACGGTTGCATATTTTTTTTCCAGTGTATTAATCCGTAAAAAGGAAATTGGAAACTAAAATATTTGAAAAAAAAAAAAAAAAAAAAAACATCCAATTTTAATTTCTAGATTTCTTTTCTGTCTTTTTCATTTTCAAAAAGTGTTTTCCTTTTTTGAAAACTGTCATGGCTTCCCCGGGTCCGTTGATTCGAGCGCAGGTCAATTAGATGGAGTGTTACAAAAAAATCTGGACAGCGAAGCTTCTATTCGCCTTTTGCAAAAGGGAGAGCAGCAGCAGCACGTATCTGCGGACAGCAACTCTGACCCCCACCTGCCACACTGGCTCTTTTTATCATCTTCATAGGGGAAAATCTTACAGTTTTACACAGACAGTCCCACAGAAGGATCATACTCCCTACTGTACATTCCTATCTCCATGTATGGAGTTGCTTCCTGCCTTTCTGCTTCCCTGTTAATCAGCTTTTTCTGTGTGCGTGTGAGCAAGGTCATTCTCAGCCTTCCACCTGCACAATGTTGTTTTCTACACTCTGTCCTCTAAATCTATCCTGATACATATGAACAATAAATTTTGCTGCAGCTTTAACTTAGCTTTTTATTTCTTTTAGCTTAAAACATGTATATATATCTTCACCTTGCAACAATAATGGAACAAATTTCATTCCATAGATCATGGTCATATCGTATATGAGAGTTTTTCCAGGCTGCTGCATGCATGTCTTTGCTTACATGTGGGAGGAGATGGCAGCCCTTGACTCTTGCACGTAGAGCTCAGCAGTACATTCACACTTTCCGTAGATATTCTGAGCGACCGCGGTGTAAAAACCCTCCAAGTCGCTGCTAACGTGGGAGATGACAAGTGAGTGTCGACCCCCCTCTTTAAGGATACGGATATTGTCAGTCTCCTCCACTCGTGTCTCTGACAGAAGAAAGTAATGAAAGAGAATCATTTAAGAAAAGAAAAACCTCATCTGTGGAGTTAGGAGATTTTTCTTTTTTTTTTTTTTTTTTTCATTTTTGCTCCTTAATGTTGTTGGTGTTCAGGATCTCTAGATTTCAAAACACACAACCACTCGGAAGCTTCTTACCAAAGTGCATCCATGTGAGTCGCGGGGCAGGTGATCCGCTCACCTTACAGTCAAAGCGTGCGGTGCGTCCTTCAATCACCTCCAGGATGTCCAGTTTACGAGTAAATAAAGGCTCTCTGGACGGAGCGACTCTCAGGTTTGCACTTGAGGTCAGCTCCTCTGGAAACAAACATGCATTGCTTAAATGTGATTTTTTATTTTATTATCATTATTATCACTTTAACATCTTTATTACTTTAAAAAGACAAGCAGGAGCAGTGATTTACCTTTGGCAGTGCTCAGTTTGCAGGTGTATGTACCGCTGTCATCCTCATGCACTGAATTAAGCATCAGACGGCACCTAACACATAAAGAAAATAACCAGGAAGAAGAAGAAGTTCTTAAAATGTTGATCTGAAATCATTAATTGTGCCTGTAGGGGGTAAAAGTGCCAGTTATGTACGTTGACTGAACAGTTCATCGTTAGAGCACAGAGCTAAACCAGATTTTTTATTAGGCAACCCTACATAACTTTTGAACCAAGTATTATATTGATTTAATCTATTTTAAATTAATTTTCAGATCGATATTCAGCATCCCGGGCATATCTAGTATGATCTATGGAGTGAATTCTGTTTCATTATTGTTGCAAACAAAAAACAAGTTTTGTAACTAAGAATTTGAAGGAAAATAATCCAATCCAGACATAAGAACTTAGAAAACATTCAAAATGTTTCCCCATTTTTTAAATGGGTTTAAATGTTTGTTTAATTAGACTTTTTTTCTTCTTTTTACACATTGTGTATTTCATATTGGGTTTTTTTTTCTAAATTTTTTTTTATTATTTAGTAAACACAAGACGAAGATAATACAATTCGTGAAACCTAATCTGAAAAACAGAAATTTGAAAAAATCATAAAAAAATAATTTTGATAAACATTTATCAAAAAAAAATTTACAAAGAAGAAGAAGAAAACTAAAAAGATTTTAGGAAAACAGTTAAGTTACTCTCAAAACCATTTTTTTGATTAATAATCATATTTCCTGGATAGCATTTTCTTTCTAATTTGTATTTTCAAAATATTTTTTTTTGCAACAATAATGAAACAAAATTCCCTCCATACAATGCTGCCTGCTCCTTGCAAAAACTTTCTTATTTTACTTATGATGGCCAGAACTTTAGCTGACCCAGACCTAACTAAGCTAAAACTCATTATTAGCCACCAAAACAGATAGGACCCTTCTAAAGATTTAGATCTAAAGAGGTGATTGTAGCCTCATATTTACCACACTATAAAAAAAATGTATCTAAATAAGTCATTTTGTTTCTGAAAATAAGTGAATTTCTTCCTGAATTAAGGAGGTAGGTGAGACATTTTGCCAATGGAACAACAAGATTAACATTTGAAATAAGAAAAATACAATTTTATTGTCTTATTAAGTGCATGTCACCTAATTATCTTTTTTGAATAGTAAAAAAAGAATAATTCCATTGGCAAAACATCTTATTTGCCTACTCAGATTAAGGGTAAAAACAGTTAATTTAAGACCTGTTTAACTTATTTCTAGATCTTTTTTTTAGTGCATGTCTACTCGATCTGATGGTCCGAACCCATCAGATTTCAAAACACTGAGGGAGACTGTTTGCTTTAGCCAACCCAGTCTCATGGGAAAATGTACCCCCACTACGTTGGTCCACACTGCAAAACGTAGTGGAGGTACATTAATGGCCATTTTTTTGTGGTACTGTTACGTTTCTTCTGCCTATACGTTTTCTATTGTTTTACGTCCTAGTCACGTGACTTTCAAGATTCCAGCTGGGAGAAGAAAAAAATATATATAGATGGCCGACATTCGCTCATTTTTGTGTGGAAAGATTAATAACTTGAGTTTGTTTTTGCATTAAAATGAGTTTTGATTACATTTCTAGTGAGAAATGTATAGTTTGTTGCCAGAATATTTACTCAGGGAATGTACATATTCACTTGCTTGTTCGTTTCTTGCAAAGATTTTTCAAGATAATGTGGAACTGTAACATTTTGGTATAAACATGGCTGAGATTTCTCTAACTTTTAGTGGGAAAATCAATAATTTCAATCAGTTTCTGCATTTAAATGGGTTTTGATTACATTTATAGCGAGAAGTGTAGGGTTTATTTACATAATATTTACTTAGTGAACATACATAATCACCCGCTTGCTAGTTTTTGCTACGTTTTTCGGATCTCGTCAGGATTATGTGAAATTGCAACGTTTAGGCTGCTACCTATAGCCTAGCATTTAGCTGCCGCCCCGATTCAACATTGAATCCTTTGTGATTTAACTCCATCTGACGGATCAAACCCTCGCCACTGCGTGCGTTGCGTCTGAGGTTGATTTTCAGATCAATGCATTACGTGGTGGCATACGGGAGAAACTAATTAAACTAGTTTAAAAAAAGGATCATGGGTTAAGATCGGATGTGTTTTATTTGGAAATCTACCGGATCCTTTGTGCAATTAACTTCCTGTTTGGTGCGATCTCATTGATGGGTTTTGACCAGATTTTGACCAAAGAGGAACTAAAACAAAAAACAATTTGAATACACAACCAGCATATCAGGAATCAGTGACAGAGAGCGACTGGGACCAGAAGTTTATTAATTTCTCCCCACTGATTTCCATTCAAAATGTTTTCGATCCCACCGGGCTCTAGGGAAGGGGCGGGCATACCGCCACCTACTGTTCATGAGTGTGTAGCAACATTGTTTTACATCTATTAAATTCTATTTTTTTATTTTGTATTCTGAAGATAAATAAATAATGCTTTCCTTAATCTATAAATATCTTTTATATTTCCTTTATATCCCAATAATCCTTTAAGACTCCATTCTTGGCCTGTCCTCTTTTCAATTTCTTCCTTTCAGGTCAAGATGTTTTAAAGTTCATCAATACGTGTTCTATATTTTCTATCTCTCCACATCCTTCACATTTATCATTATTTTTCCTCCCTATTAAGTATAAATTGTCATTTAAATAAGTATGACCTACTCTTAATCTGATCATTATTATTTCTTCCCTTCGGTTTCTCTCATTAATATTTCTATTTAATACTGACTTTTGTACTTTATATAACCTTCTTCATTTTTATCTTCATTCCACCTTTTTTTTGTGCCATTTTTCAATTTCTTTCCTCTTAATAAATGATTTTCCTTCCCCTTTCCCTAAAGAAATTGTAATTGTTATTTGTCTACTTTTCATTCCACCTAACTTTCCATTAATTAGCTTGAAAACAGCACTTTGTAGGCACCCAGTTTCTCTAACAATGGCCCTTTTTGGGTTACCCTCCATGCATTGGGTGTCAGTTCAGTGGCAGTTCCAGAACATTTTCATAGGGTTGACCAGGCAGCACAATAATGTGCATGTGGCCAAAAAGTAATAGGGATCAAATTCGGTTCAGAGTCAAGCTATTGGGATCAGGCATCAGGTTCAATTTGCATATTTTCTTAGCCAAAACAAGGATTTGTTGATCTACTGTAATTTTGAATTGAAAAACGTCCTGAATGGGAAGTCTTCAAACTTGAAAAACAAAGTCCAAAGTTTGTTTTTGTTTTTTTTTGGAATGATTATGACCTGGATGTCTAAGAATCTTCACCAGCTTATCAGGGAAATGAATGCCCACAATGTCTATATTCTCCAAAAGAGAATAACAGAACAGACCTTCATGAGGCCCTTGTTAAAGCTATGCACATATTTATGCGTCTATGCTCTTCAAATAACTTTCTGGTTCGACGCAACATTTACATTAAATGGGTTGAGAGGTTGTTCTTTACCAGTATTCCGTAAAAATTCAAAAAATATCAAAAACATTTATTTGGAAATCTACCGTCCCATTTATTTGGAAATCTACCGGAAAAAATTTAAAAAAAAAAATTTACGGAATGACTTTGACCTGGATGACTGAGAACCTTCATCAGCATATTCTTTACCAGTAAATACATAAAAGATTCCCAGATGACTGCCGATACAAACTCTCCCCTATAAAACCTAAAACTAAATCTTATAAGAGAGTAAAATCTGTATTAGTCTTCATTAAATGTAGCATATTGTTGTACATAATCGATTGCTTTATTTTTGGTGTCAGCTTTTGGTCAATATGCTAACCTTAAAAGGTCAAAGTGGGAAAATGTAGTAGTAGTAGACAAATTAGCAATTAGAGGAGGCAATAACAATTACAATTCCTTTAGGGAAAGGAGAAGGAAAATCATTTATTAAAAGGAAAGACATTGAAAAATGGCAAAAAAAAAAGGTGGAATGAAGATAAAAATGAAGAAGGTTGTATAAAGTACAAAAGTCAGTATTAAATAGAAATATTAATGAGAGAAACCGAAGGGAAGAAATAATAATGATCAGATTAAGAGTAGGTCATACTTATTTAAATGACAATTTATACTTAATAGGGAGGAAAAATAATGATAAATGTGAAGGATGTGGAGAGATAGAAAATATAGAACACGTATTGATGAACTTTAAAACATCTGGACCTGAAAGGAAGAAATTGAAAAGAGGACAGGCCAAGAATGGAGTCTTAAAGGATTATTGGGAAATAAAGGAAATATAAAAGATATTTATAGATTAAGGAAAGCATTATTTATTTATCTTCAGAATACAAAATAAAAAAATAGAATTTAATAGATGTAAAACAATGTTGCTACACACTCATGAACAGTAGGTGGCGGTATGCCCGCCCCTTCCCTAGAGCCCGGTGGGAGCGAAAATATTTTGAATGGAAATCAGTGGGGAGAAATTAATAAACTTCTGGTCCCAGTCGCTCTCTGTCACTGATTCCTGATATGCTGGTTGTGTATTTAAATTGTTTTTTGTTTTTTTTTTTAGTTCCTCTTTGGTCAAAATCTGGTCAAAACCCATCAATGAGATCGCACCAAACAGGAAGTTAATTGCACAAAGGATCCGGTAGATTTCCAAATAAAACACATCCGATCTTAACCCATGATCCTTTTTTTAACTAGTTTAATTAGTTTCTCCCGTATGCCACCACGTAATGCATTGATCTGAAAATCAACCTCAGACGCAACGCACGCAGTGGCGAGGGTTTGATCCGTCAGATGGAGTTAAATCACAAAGAATTCAATGTTGAATCGGGGCGGCAGCTAAATGCTAGGCGATGGGTAGCAGCCAAAACGTTGCAATTTCACATAATCCTGACGAGATCCGAAAAACGTAGCAAAAACTAGCAAGCGGGTGATTATGTATGTTCACTAAGTAAATATTATGTAAATAAACCCTACACTTCTCGCTATAAATGTAATCAAAACCCATTTAAATGCAGAAACTGATTGAAATTATTGATTTTCCCACTAAAAGTTAGAGAAATCTCAGCCATGTTTATACCAAAATGTTACAGTTCCACATTATCTTGAAAAATCTTTGCAAGAAACGAACAAGCAAGTGAATATGTACATTCCCTGAGTAAATATTCTGGCAACAAACTATACATTTCTCACTAGAAATGTAATCAAAACTCATTTTAATGCAAAAACAAACTCAAGTTATTAATCTTTCCACAAAAAAATGAGCGAATGTCGGCCATCTATATATATTTTTTTCTTCTCCCAGCTGGAATCTTGAAAGTCACGTGACTAGGACGTAAAACAATAGAAAGCGTATAGGTAGAAGAAACGTAACAGTACCACAAAAAAAATGGCCATTAATGTACCTCCACTACGTTTTGCAGTGTGGACCAACGTAGTGGGGGTACATTTTCCCATGAGACTGGGTTGCTTTAGCAACAGCGCAGTGTTGCTAGTGGCATTCAGGGGGGGCTAGGCCTAAAAGATACAGGTCTAGCGCCCCTACTGGCTAAAAGTTACACTGCTGCTTTAACACACTTAATTTGAGAAAAAAAAAATACAGTTTTGAATATGCTTTGGAGTCCATTAACTTAAAAGCACATATACTGTATGTACATATGAAGCTGATGGTTTACCATTTAACCACCAGCTCCTAAATCACATTACAACCAAACTCTATGGTTCTGGGCATCATTAATCCATCTGTTCGAGTGTGAAAACACCTCTTTCAGGAACTACCTAAAAAAATTAAGATGCATGGAACAGGGTTAGCTTTGTTGAACCGACTGCTTTTTTACTCCTCTATAATTTTACCCTTTGTTTTTAAGCGGCCATAATAAAAACAAATGGCATCAGAAACAACCGGAGAACATTATCTTTTTTTCTATCGCCATGTTATAATGAGCTACCTGAGTAAATAAAGGTAACCTTTCCATTCCATAGATCTTTTTATTTTTGATAACCCATTTTTATCAGGAGACCATGAATTTATACTTAAAAAGGTTCTTCTTTACCTCAGTTTAAAAAAAAAAATTATAATTTTTTTTTATTAGGTCGCTAACCCATGTAGTTGTTATATTAGATTTAAAGTTCTTCATCTAAATAAGGAATCCCTAATATAAACTACAGTTATAGAGATCCTAAGAGTTTCCTTTGGATTAGTGCTTTTTACTTTATTTGTTATTCTTTTGAGGTGTTATATTCAACAGCAACAGGTAACAGTAAAATATAATGATCTCTTTTATTTTTGGCCAACTTATTGTAAAAAAAAAAAAAAAAAAATGAAACCCTTTATGTTCTATGGAAAGATCCTACTACTACAATAGAACACTGAGGTCTTTATTAAAGTTGCTGCTTCTCAATCAACTTTAGATAAATTTTTATGGATAATTTCTGTGCCTGCATAACGTTGTTGTAGTCTACAGAACTTTCATTTATTACTTTGTTGGAAAATGACTCATTGCATTCAACAAACATTTTAAAAAAACAATCAAATTCAAAACTTGCCTCTTTCCGTCAAAATGCATCTTGCAGTTTAGAAGTGCCGGCTGAACGAGCTTTCCGTTAGATAGCCAGTCCACCTCCAGGTCTGGCGGCCCAATGACGTGACATTCAAATATGGCCGACTCCCCAGCCTTCACCGCCACGTCTTCAACTGCTCTGGTGATCTTGAGCTCCATCTGTTCGCCTGCTACTCATTAATAGAGCAAACAGAATTAGGAGTGAGAGGAAAACATGAACACTACTTGACGAGTGCTGGATCACTCACCTTTGACCTCTACTCTGCATCCCACCTGCTTGGTTCCACGCTCATTGGCGATCTTACAGAGGTAAAGTCCTGCATCCGACCTTTGAGCAGAGCTGATTCTCATTTCGCAGGTCCCATCTTCCCTCTCGCGGACAACGAAGCGGCCTCCTGTCTTCACCGTCTCTCTGTCCTTCAACCTGGGTCAACAGAAAGTTTCTGTCACAGTCATTTAAGCTGTGGCGTTTCAGGACCCGCTGTGTCCGCATTACTTTGACCTTGTTTTAGATATCGGTTAAACTGAAAGAGGAAAAGGTAGAACTAATGGAGAAGTCTCACCAAAACACCATTGGTTTGGGATTTCCGCTGATCTTTGCCAGTAGAATGACCTCTTGACCTTCAGCTACTGCCTGGTCACGGGGTGCCACCTTAAAAGGGTCAAAACATGATGATTCACCGAATGGCTGGTCTGAATTAATCGCAATTTAAGTATACAAACGGACAAAAAGAATGGTGTATATTGAGGTTATGGTTCGTTCTTTGGTTCTTCTGTTTCACTAAAAGGTTGCAACAGCAAATTATCTCATTGTTTTTCAGTTTTTGCCATTTTCATAGCTTAATTTCAAAGATGTAGATTAAAATGATCAACAATCCACATGATTTAGTTCTTCTTTTAGCTATCTAAATCGAAAAAATCATTACATAAAATGGATATTTTAATTTGTAATGATTCCAAACACGTTAAAAAACGCGATTAGTGCAATAGTCGCACGTTAAATCAAAAATGATTCATTATCTGAAGTTTGTCTCTTGAAGTTAATAAAGGACGGTATAGGTTGATGAAAAAGTAGAGAAAAAATAAACTACCGTATTTTTCGTACGATAAGTCGCACCTGAATATAAGCCGCAGAAGCGAAATTGCATGATTTGTACATATACAAGCCGCACCGGACTATAAGCCGCATAATTTTTATGCTTAATTACCATATGGTTCGTGCTGAGAGAGGATTGTCGGGAAAGAGGCAACTGTTTGGAAGCTCCTATTTATTAACATTTCAACGCAATTGAATTGAGACAATTCTTCCTGCTGGCATCTCCAACATCTCACCATTGACTCGTTGATTCCAAGGTTACGTGCAGCGGTTCTATTTCCTTCGTTTACTGCCAAATTGACTGCCTTTAACTTAAAAGCTGCATCATATGCATTTCAGCGTTTGTTTTCCATAATAAGGGTGTCACACAAGCTGTCTTACGCTCGCAATGTCCGTCTTTCTAGGAGTCTGCTTCCGGAGCGGCTACTTGTGTGTTGAAGCAAATGTGACGTCAACATGGTGGATGGAAAAATCCATAGATTTTGGTACCGTTTTACCCTAGTGGCCGTTAGCTGTAAAAGTCCATAGATAAGCCGCATTGTTATATAAGCCGCAAGGTCGAAAAAACGGTCGAAAAAAGGCAGGAAAAAGTCGCGGTTTATAGTCTAAAAAATACAGTATCTCATGGAGTTATGATAACTAAACAGGTTAAAATATTAAGATAGAAAAATTAAGATAAAAATCCTTGCATAAAACTAGTTTTTGGAAATCTGCAACTTTGCCATACTAATTTTAATATGCTTTTATTCTCCTGTATGTGAAACCAATTTATTGTAGCTCTCTATGCCCAATTCTTGTCCTAATCTGAAGGGGTGTCCCATTACTTTTTGCCATGGAATATATCAAGTACAGAATGATTCAGCTTTATATAAAATCTTACCTGAAAAGAGGGAGGCTCATTAAAGATGACGCCTTTATTTAAGGATGATGAGTCTCCAACCTCCATCTCCTCCTCCTGAGGGCTGAGATACTCCTCATCTGAATGGACCGGACTTCGTATGTCCACACCTGCTTTCCCACACTGTTGATAACCCGGCTCTAGAGAAATGGTCCAACAATAAAAAAGAGCAATAGACATAAGTATAACTTCATCACATGGAAAATGTAATGAAAACATTTAGAGAATGTTACTTTGGTTCAGTACCAGAAAGTCAAGGCTACCATAGCAGTGCAGTATTTTACTACTGTTGAAGATGAATTATTTTCTGTTAAGGGTCATGTTTGTATGGCGGGAGGTCAGCCAAAGGGACATCCCAATGCTTGATCTATGATGACCTGAGAGGGTATACCATTGCCTTATATGGTAATGCTTTGGTCTGGGGGAGAACGCATGATACTGTAGCTTGAGAATTTGCCTCCTGGCTTGGTGTCGCATTTTTGAATGAATTGGAAAACCTTTAGTAGATCTGGGCCATTTTGCTTTTCCCATGTCTATAAGGCAGGCCTAGGAGAAAGAAGGTAAAGACTTCCTCTGTAGTTTGTTTTTACATCAATGATTTTGTTAATACTAATGAAGTTTCTTCTTTTTGTACACTTTTCAAGGAACATTCCTACTCGGATTAGAACCTGGTGATCAAAGATTACGTTTTCTTGATATAAACCATGGTTTTAGATATTGGTTGAAAGAGTTGCTTTGCAGACAATCAGCTTATATGGGGTATAAACAACACTCCAAAAAAGAGGGAGCTTTAAAGGACATCTGAAACCCCCTGTGAAGCCTGCAATGAAGCCCCCACACCGCTTCTTCTTTCAAACTTTGACGTTGATTCCAAGAACAGGCTATCTTCACCTTTCTCTTTTTAAGTCTTAAAGAGGAAACTTGGTCCCGAGATACAGATGAGATACAATCCTGTAAGCTTCTTCCTTTGAATCACAGAGCCTACAGAAAAGGAGCCAGTGGCGAAACAACGCAACAATAGGCTAATAAGCAACATTATCTGGGTGGGCCCCATACAAAGTACAACAATAGTTAACAGTGATTAAAAGTACCACTGTCTGTTTTGATATTGGTGTGGTGTTTAAGCGGCTCACCATCCTGTTGAAATCTGCCATGTTTTGGGGTATAAATAAGGTCCGGTCAGTCAGCCTAGTATCAGGGGGGTTTAAGAGGAATTTTTAGCACAATTACATCTGCAAAGAGACGTCCTAGTCCACAATTGTGTAGGGGGCCACTAGGTGTCAGTGACGGGGCCCCTAAGAGGTCGGAGGGGCCCTAAGCAACTGCAGTTACGCCATTAGCGTAAAAAAGGAGGTTTCTACCTCAATTAGCCATTAGCTCTTTCTATAAGTAGCTAACTAGCTCTGTAGTGTTATTAGGAATCAGTTTTCTAAATGTTAATTCATATCTGATTAGGAAAATAATTTAATAAAATATTTCTTTACCAAATAATGTTTATTTTTCCTCTCAGATTTGCATTGTGAATTTGGTTGAACAATTTAAAACATATTCTAAATTAGTTGAAATGTTAATAAAGACCTAATTTCATCCATTTTCTGTCATCTCCAGCTGTCTACTGGCAAAAGGCAGGGTAAACCCTGGACAGGTCACCAGTACATCACAGAGACAAACCACCATTCACACACACATCTATGGAGAATTTACAGAAACCAGTTAACAGTCATGTATTTGGACTGTGGAAGGAAGGCGGAGTACCCGGAGAGAACCTCAGGGAGACCATGCAAACTCATGCAAAGCCGACCAAACTCTAAAGTTTATTTTGAAGAGTTTTGAATTAGGTCCACACTCTTCAAAATAAACGTTGGATCCCAGACATCACTTTCAAGCTAAACTGTGACATCATTGCACAATTTTATTGGCAATATTTTTTAGCCAGTTACATTAGCTTTTTTTCTTCTATGTCTCAATAGCAGTTATTTAGTTTAGTTTTAGTTTTGCTAGCTTAGTTAACAGTTTTTAACTGAAATATGTTTTATCTGGATTCAAACTATTTTTGTCACAGTCTTGGTTCTGTTATGTTTTCTTTTAAGTATTCAGTTTTACTTTGCTCCATGTTTTTTATTTTTTTTGGTTTAATTCTTATTTTGTTGTGTTCTCTGGTTATATTTTAGGTTTTCAGGTTTTTATTTGTTGCCCTCTGCTGCCCTCTTGTGTTCTCCTTTTTCCCTAGCTCCTTTCCAGTCTGCTCTGTTCACACCTGCTCCCAATCTGCTAGTTAGTCCTCTCTTTGTTCAGTCTCCCATAAATACACTCCTTTTGCAGTTCCTCAGTGGAGGTTCCTCGTCTAACTTCCTTTAACTCCGTCTCACTGAGTCTTCCTCGTCGAGATTGTTTTTTCCCCCTGATGTCTCCATGGTTTCTGGTTTGTTTGACTTTTTTCACGTTTGACTTTTTGGATTTTTGGATTCCATCCTCTGTTGTATGTAAACAGACAACAGACAACTCACCTCTTCCTCCCTCCCTCTGCATTTGGGTCCTCAAACCACAACCATATCCTGACAATTATTTTTATCAATGTCTTATATTTTACAAGGAAGTTGTTGAGAATTGATTACATATGTAGTTCATAATTTGACCATGCTTTGTTATTGTTCAATGCAAAGCACATTTTGTAAATGGAAATTATATAATAATCCAGGGATTAAACTTTGAAAAAGGTTTTATTGGGTAAAAATACATATTTTGGGGGTTAAGAATTTCAATCTTTTCAAATTGTGTTTCAAAGATCCCAGTCTCTTCCAATTTCTTTAAAAATGTTTTGAGAGAAAATAAAATTGGGAAATATATAATCTGTTTAAAAAAAAAGAAAAGGAAAATAAGACTTAGAAAAAAAATGAAATACACAAAAGTTACCCTAGAAAACCTATTTTTGATTAAAATGATTTCCGAAATTTCTGGATTGCAGTTTTCTCTTTTTTTTTTTTCAAAATCTGTTGCTGTTTTTTTATATTTATTTCAATTTACAAAAAGTGTTCTTTGCTTTCAACAATAATGGGATTAAATTTACTCCATACACAGTTTGGCATGTGTTCACAAAATAAAACCTGACTAAAAATTTTTATTGAATATGAAATTACATAGTAAAATATTATTATGGTGTCCTGCAGGTGTTAATGAAAACATAAAGTTACAGTGGCTGAAAGAAGAGGACCATGTGATGTTGACCTCTCTGAAATGAAACCTCTTAATCTCTGACCCAATCATTATCCTGCTCCAGCTGTTTTCAGAGGAGAGAAAAAAAGCTTCCTCTGTGCTCCCTCCTTTGGGAGTTGCTGCTGTCAAAATGAATCCCCTGGCAGCAAACACTTTCTTTTTAAGCTTCAGCTGCATATCAAAAAAGAAGAGCAGGCAGGACTGTGACAGCAGTAAAATAAAAACCATCCTCTTTTCAATGGAAGAGTGATAAAATGTAATTACTTGTGGGTGATCTAAACCAGATCACCTAGATCTACGCCAGAGGAAAAACAAATTCCAACTTAAACGTGAAAGAACTTGCATGATTCAAAGATTGTGATGTACACAAATGAAAAAAGGTTCTGAATGCTGTAAGTTGGTATTCTGTTAAATTTTTGGTATAAGCAAAAAAATAAATAAAACAACCTACCTAGACTCAGATCTCTGAGAGGCCTCCATTCACCGGGGAATAAATCCCACAAGTATTTATGTAAACCTGCCAACTCTTATACAACGACTGAACTGTCTGAACTGAAAAAAAAACAAAAAACTTAATACATTATTCTGTTCTGACCTTAGCTTCTGTCATGTCGATGATACCTAACCACCTGAAGTCAGAGGGTAGTACACTACTTAAAAAAATTAAAGGAACACTTTGTAATCAGAGTATAGCATCAAGTTAATTAAACTTCTGGGATATTAATTTGGTCAGGTAAGTAGCAGAGGGGTTTTTTAATCAGTTTCAGCTGCTTTGGTGTTAATGAAATTAACAGGTGCACTAGAGGGGCAACAACGAGACGACCATTAAAACAGCAAAAGGTTTTACAGGTGGAGGCCGCTGACATTTTTTCCCCTCCCCATCTTTTCTAACTCTTTTTCACCAGTTTTGCATTTGGCTAGGGTCACTGACACTACTGTTAGCATGAGGCGCTACCTGGAACCTACAGACGTTGCACAGGCAGTGCAACTCCTTCAGGATGGCACAGCAATACGTGCCAGGTTTGCTGTGTCTCCCAAAACAATCTCAAGAGCATGGAGGAGATTCCAGGAGACAGTCAGTTACTTCAGGAGAGCTGGACAGGGCCGTAGAAGGTCTACAACCCATCAGCAGGACCGGTATCTGCTCCTTTGTGCAAGGAGGAGCAGGAGGAGCACTGCCAGGGCGCTAGAAAATGACCTCCAGCAGGCCACTGGTGTGAATGTCTTTGACCAAACAATCAGACACAGACTTCATGAGGGTGGCGTGAGGGCCCAACGTCCTCTAGTGGGCCCTGTGCTCACTGCCCAGCACCGTGGAGCTCGATTGGCATTTGCCACAGAACATCGGAATTGGCAAGTCCGCCACTGGCGCCCTGTGCTTTTCACAGATGAGAGCAGGTTCACCCTCAGTACATGTAACAGACGTGGAAGGGTCTGGGGAAGCCATGGAGAATGTTATGTTGCCTGTAACATCTTTCAGCATGACTGGTTTGGTGGTGGGTCAGTGATGGTCTGGGGAGGCAGATACATGGAGGGACGCACAGACCTATACAGGCTAGACAACAGCACCCTGACCGCCATTAGGTATCAGGATGAAGACCCCCTGTTTAAAAGTACTTCCAGCTGCCTTGTCCAGAACTGCACTATTATCTGGAGAATGTCCTCTGTATGTATCTGCTGAAGAAAAGCATTCACAAAGCAGGACTCCACCAGGCTATGGAATGAATGTTGTTCCATTATTGTTACAAGCAAAATACACTTTTTGTAAATTTAACAATTTGCAATCCAGACATTTAACTTTAAAAAACTTTTTAATAATAAAAAAAGGTTTTAGAGTAATCTTCTCAGATTTTTCAATTTTTTTTCAAAAATTATTTCCTATTTTTTTCTGATTTATTTTTGGGAATTCTTTTTTTTTTTTTTTACAGATTTCATATTTTTGGATTTTTATTATAAGAAAAAAAATAACAGCTGCACTTATGCACTTTCAATAGATTTCCGTTTGGAAATTCATCTTTTTTCTTTTTTTTCATTTTTAGATCACATTCTCTTCACTTCCAGCCCAATTCAAAGACTCATTCTGGATCAATTGAACCACACCAATAGAAATGCATCTACTGTACACTACTCACTCAAGAGGAATGCCCACCTCCAAAAGTATAGAAAATGTGATGTAAAAAGGGCAATTCCTGGATAATGCAATTTGTAAAACTAAATTGGAAAAACAGAAATAAAAAAAATTGAATACAAAATTTGTAAAAAAAAAAATAAAAATAAAAAACAAGGGGAAATTTAAAAATCTGTTAAAAAATGTGGAAGAATTAAATAAAAAATATAAACATATTAAAAATTAAAAATAAGAAAACAGCAAAATTGCTCTGACAGTCGCTCTACCTCTTCTGTAATTGCACCGATTCCTCTTTCTTTAGCTACAGTGAGAACGGATTTGTGCATCCCAACATTCAATCATGTAAAAACTGAGATCCGGGAACTGTGATGATGATCTCTTTAAGGTTTTGAAAATCACTGTGGGTGCCAAAAATCTAATTTTCGTATGTTCCACCCATAAATGGCTGTAGTTTGGTCATTAGATCTGTGCAAAGTGTGAACAAACAGCTGGAGTATGAACATAAACTGAGGACATAAAAGGTTTTTTTTTTCTTTTTTCTTTTTTTTTTACTGAAGAATAAATGTATTTGAAAGCGTATGGTTTAAGCCTGAACATTTTTATTTGAAATAGAAAATGATTATACTAAGAACACTGAACAACCCTTTTTTTTTTTTTTTTTTTTTTCAAAAATATTTGGTGCGAAGAAGTAAAACTGAAAAGAAACTTAAAACTACTTTTAGATTTAATTTATACATTTTTTTTTTCTTTTTTCCCCTTCAGTGTTGGAGCTAGGCTTAGATAACATGGGATGTGAATGGACGATAGGTGCCTAGAAAAAATGTTAACTGTACCATTCATGAAGCGTGACACAAGATTATGTTTTAGTGGTTTAAAAACATAAACATGCTTGATGTTGCTCTATGCAAGAATTCTGACCATACTGCATTTTAGTTTGAGTTGAGCAAAGTAAAGATGAAAACCACCAAACTGATGGCAGCATCATTACTCTGTTTGTCTCAGTACTCTGTGTTTATGTTTATCACATAAACACCTGAATGCAACAGATTGTAATATTTTAATCAGGCACCAAAACTGTTAGTCATCAATCCACAACTTTTATAATCTTAACCCCACTTTGAAAAAGAAAAAAATCTTTTAACTTTTTTAAGCTTAAAATCTTTCTTAGTTTTTTTTTTTCCTGTATTAAAAAACTTTTACATTATGGCCCCAATATAGCTCCATACAAAGTTATCAATTAACATGGGCAAAGCTGAACTACATACAAATTTGCATGTGTTTTAATACACGCAAACCTTTAAGCCTAAAATGTAGTTTTTAAACATGGCAAACCTTCAAAATATTGAAAAATTTGACTGTATGATCTGGTTGAACTGTAAAGTGCCTTGAGATGACATGTGTTGTGAATTTGGCGCTATATAGATAAACTGAATTGAAATTGAATTGAATTGAAAAATGTGTCCCTTAAAATGTGCGTGAAAATACCCAATTCTGAATCCGAAACAAAAAAATAAAAAAAAATACACAAAACAAATGTAACCAGTCTGATCTATTCAGTTTGTGTTTTTTAGTTTCTAAAATTATAACTGAGTTTAATGACTGATGTAAAATAAGCTTCTACTGTTCATGACTACATGAGGTCGTGTGGGTATATGTCTCCCACTGAGAACCAAAAACACTCTACAGCATCAAGCTACAGTGACGCACGCCCCCCCTCCCCATATTCAGACTGCTCCATCCTCCTGGTCACAGCAGCAATCTCACAGAGGGACATGAAGCAGACGGCAATCACCCGAGAGAACAAGAGGCCTGGCTAAAAATACCCCTGCAAGTCAGGCTCCACTGGCCTAATATGGCAGCTGAGTCCTGGAACTGCTGGCTCAGACAGCGTTATGGCGCACATTCGTATTTGTTGACAAAACTCTGCCTTTTCCTGAGCTGAATAAACACTTTCAATTACAAGCTCTTCAGACTGTAAAACATACACACCAGCAGACGGCAGAGGACAGAAATCTCTTCTGGGAGGAATTAGTTGTGTTTGGTTTTGACTTTGAATGCCAATAATGCCTTTAAGCATCTGCAGACCTTTTTTCTTTTGTCTTTTTTTCAATTCAGCCCAGGAGGATTGTTGGTTGAGATGCAGCAGGCTGTTCTCACCTGGCTGGATGTGGAGAAAAGCGCTGCAGGAAGAGGTGCCAGCCTCGTTGGCAGCCGTGACGCAGTACGATCCGGCGTTATGGGGCCGTAGCTCCTTTATCAGCAGGGTGTGCTTCTCCCCTTCCGTTTTAATGGCACAAAAAGCATCGCTGCGAAGCTCCATGTTGTTCTTTCTCCATGTCACTGAGAAGGAGAAGTGATGGAACAAAGAGTGAAGTGTTGAGTGATAAAAGTCTGCAGAGAAGTGCAATAAATGAGGCTTGTTTGCACACATTTGTATGAATATTCATGAGCGTGCTGTTTTTGAGAGAAAAAAAAAGTTTTTTTAGAGTTGGTCAAGTATGGATGGATGGACTACAGCTCTAAAATAAGCCATAATTTCTCTATACCTATGCATCTTTTCCTAAATTTGTGCTGAGGAACCTCTTCCCATTGGTACAATAGTTGTTTAACTGTCAACTTTTACAATGAAAAATCTGAAATCACCATCCAAACACAGCCAAAGTCAGCAGATAGTTTCTGTACCTGTCGGGGATGGGCTGCCAGCGATGATGCAATCCAGTTTGACCTCAGAGCCGCATGGGGCCGTGATGTCCCTGAGCGGTTTAACAAACCTTGGACTCTCGCCTGGTTCTTCATCAGCAGAAAGGTACGATTCATCAGAAGAACCCTCTAAAAAAGAAAAAAAAATATGGTTTGTTTATTTTCCTCCCTCCTTCAGCTCTCTCTACCATCACTGGTCTCAGCTGTTCCATTTTTCACATGAATTCTCTCATCTCCTTGCAATGGTTCTTTCCACAGTCCTCTCTGTATATAAGGTTATCTTCTATTACTTCCGGATTCTTCTGTTGGCTCCAAGTTCCCTCAATCCTTGCCTGTCATTTAACATTTATTTTTTCCCCTGAATGCGCCACATCTGATCCTCCCTGTTCCAATAAGTTTTATCCTTAAAGGAATAGCACACCCAAAACATGATTAGCCTTCATTTTCTACTCACCCCCATGCTGAACAACACTCTGGAGTACTTTTTTGATATCTCAAATGCATCTGGAGATCTGGGAGGCTTCTTGCTGTCTGCTGACATTCAAATAATGGAGGTCCATGGCGCCCGAGGCAGAAAGGTCCATAAAAGTCCACAAAAAACGTGTCAATATTCCTCCATACTGCTCGTCCAATGTATTCCAAGTGTCCTGAGTCGGTAGCGTCCATAATTTACTCGAAACGAAGTCGATAAGAATGTTTTTAGAGCATAAACAGTAGTGTATAGGACTTCCTAAAAGCGAGTTCACGAGTCTACGGAAACCGCGGCAGACCAAACCAGATGAAAGTGCGCATTCAGCTCGGCAAAGAACTCATGCTCTTCCTCAACACTGAAGTCCTCAGACATTTTTCTTTCGTTGTTTCTTTCTTTGCACAGGTAAACAGCACATTTCTTCTTCTACGCTTGCATTATTGGCAGAGCAGACACCGAATGCGCACTTTCATCTGGTTTGGTCTGCCGCGGTTTCCGTAGACTCGTGAACGCGCTTTCAGGAAATCCTATACACTACTGTTTATGCTTTAAAACATTCTAAATGACTTCGTTTCGAGTAAATTATGGACGCTACCCACTCAGGACACTTGGAATACATTGGAAGAGCAGTATGGAGGAATATTGACACGTTTTTTGTGGACTTTTATGGACCTTTCTGCCTCGGGCGCCATAGACCTCCATTATTTGAATGTCAGCAGACAGCAAGAAGCCTCCCAGATCTCCAGATGCATTTGAGATATCAAAAAAGTACTCCAGAGTGTTGTTCAGCATGGGGGTGAGTAGAAAATGAAGGCTAATCATGTTTTGGGTGTACTATTCCTTTAATTTTTGATCCACATTTTTTTTTTTCTGTTTGCACCTAAGACAGGTTATTGACATTTGGCTTGCTTTTTGTAATGAAATAGATTAAAAAGACTGACATAAGAAGCTCAGCAGACTATTTGTTATGTCACTCTCTTCTATAATTATCAATGTAATGATCCCTTCAGGCTGGAGACCTGCAGCTGCTCAGGGTTACTTTACATACCTTAACAGTAACGTCACACCACCTGCAGGCTCATGTTTGCAGAGCAGAGGTGGTTTGAGTTCTGCAGGACATGCGGGTGAACTTTACATCACTGCCTACCGTTTGAACATGTCAGGAACGTTGCCTAATCCAACCAGCAGTGTAAAAAGTTGCCATGTAAAGGTGAAAATATGTAAGTTTTGGTTCTGGTTTTAGTTTTAATTAAGTCACTTTACGAACGTGCAATTTCTACAATACCGTATAGGTGCAGTATTGTCATGTGCAATACAGCAATTTGTGTGTAAATGCATTTATATACTTTTCTTCTTCAACTGTATACGTTATAATATAAATTTTCTTTTCGTAGCACTATTTGCTCGCATTTTTCTTTGTTTTATTTTGTTTTGAGCTGCTCAAAATGTTGTTGTACCCTTCAGGAACATAAACATAGACTTCTGATTCTGATAAATACGGTAGATATTGGTCTTTCATGTGTCAAATATGAAGATATGAGCTTAAGGAACGTTTACATAGTTCCCATAGACTAATCTTACCTTCCTCTGGAGACCTTGGCTGGGCTGAATGGTCTTTCTTCTTTTTGCGTACTCTTCCCTCCCTTCGTCTGTTAGGATGGTTCTCTTTGCTTTTGCCTGTTGGACATTCTTCCTCCATGGGCTCGTCCTCCACAAGGATTGTGGGGATGTTCACTTTCGGGGCAGGAGAGACTCGTCCCACCTCGGCTCGCCTCTTCTTCACTAAAGGGCTGACCGCAGGTGGGCGGCTGGGTTTGGGGAGATATTGGGATGAGGGTTCCCCTGCTGCTACTGGGGATGATCTCTTCCCAGTTGTTCCATGATGCGATTTGTTCTCCATCATTTTGTCTGCCTTAGAATCTATTCCTGGATCTCTGGAGGAGGAGGAGGAGGAGGAGGAGGAAGATTTTAAGGAAGAGGGAAGAAGTGTGTTTTATCAGCACCTGGTGAGCTTCATAGAGGTTCACTCGGTGGATGTAAAAAGCAACCGTTGCATGAGACTAATGTGAAAATACCCCCAAAAACTGTTATAATTTTTAAAAAGAAAAAATTAAATGCAGCAAAATAAAATAAATTTTGCTTATTTGCCTTTATATGGAGTTAATTTTGTTGCAAAGAACTTGTTTTGTACATTAAGATTTGCTAAAAAAAATTACAGAAAGTTAACATTTCAACAAAAGGTTTTTAAGAATAACTTAGAAAATTACTTTAAAATTTTTTTTTCCAGTTTTATATTCCAGCATTTTTATGCAGATCCTATATTTTGAAATTTTATGTTTTCAAATTTTATCTTATTTTTGTACCTTTATTTCTTTGAAACAATTTGAAAAGAATGCAATTGGTAAAACTCAATCAGAAAAAACAGAAATCTGAATGATAAAATCTGTAAAAAAAAAAAAAAGAAATAATAATAATAATAATCAAATTTCAAAAAACCGAAGATATAGATTCTGTAGAAAATACATGAAAAAATTAAATTTTGAAGAACACATTTATTTTGTCTAAGAAAACAGCAGATCACTTTAAAATGCAGTTTTCATTCATTTTCTTTTAAAATTTTCATTCTGTGTTGTATTACTTTTTCAAATTTAAATTTGAAAACTGTATTATTTGCTTGCAACAAAATAGAACGAAGTTCCCTGCTATCTGTCAAAATGACCAATTGGCTTTTAGATGATTCCCTTCATGTTTGAGAGAAAAAAAGTCAAATACTGAGAACATTCTGTTAACACAACCACTGGCCATCAACTAAGAGTTTCACCATTTGCCTCAAACTGTGCACCTTTAAGCAGCTAATTATGTTATGAGGCTTTTTAGTTGGTGATGTAATTACACTAAGATGGCAGTATGTGCAACCCTCCTGCAAAGGCAATCTGACTGAGTTATACCTATGCAATGCTAGGCTATGCTAGCGAGGTCAGGGTGTGATTTGCTGTCTGTGAAGTTATAGGATGGCTTTCAGATTTTTCTTCCATCCTCAAATATGGAAAATATTTAGTTATTGGGTCCCCTAACAGTGAACTGTTTTTGCATTAACATTAAACGGCCTATGTTAGCAGGATAATGGTGTTAGCAAGCTGTGATATAAGTACACTATGACTGCAGTGTGAGCAGCTCTATTGCAAAAGCAGTCTAAATTATTTGTTCCTACACTATTTCTCTGTTCGAATTCATGGGATGTGTCCTCCGACGGCCAGGTTCAAGGGACGGTTACGTCATAAAGCTGCGCCGAGGTCTGGTTGCATTCCAAGACTTCTCATTATGCGGCCTTAAAATGCGTCCTTTTTGCCGGATTTGAAGGACGGGTCCGATGTATCCTATGTATCCTTGGTTATCCCAGGATTCATTGCGAGACCAAGCCGGCTGCTCCGTGATCAGAGCAAATGGTACTTGGTGAATATTGGAAGTTCAGTTTAATATAATACAAGTATTTGAATAGATCCAACTTAAATGAGTGAAAATAGTTGTTTTAATGGTTATTGAGTTAGATTTTCGGCGGGTAATGTTTAATTTATCTAATGGTTTTTATCTGTTACTGTGTAAATGGGTTTGGCTGCACAGATTCTAATATATCTGCAGTGTGGGGACTATAAATCAGATTTTTTTTTATTGCTGTTTTGCACTATTTGCTAAAGAAAAATGCAGATATATTTTTTATACTTATAGAATAGAATAGAAAATCTCTTTATTGTCCCACAATGGGCAAGTTTACAGCAGCAGAAAGATTATTGAAAATGGTCACACAAATGAGGACCTTAGAAAAATAAATAAGAATAACATAATAGGGAAGAGTTAAAATATAAACAATAAAATACTGTAAAGACTTTTAGCAATATAAAACTGTGCACCTGGAGAATAAATAAAATAAAACTTTTTTACAGTAATGGATATTTGAAAATAGCAGCAACATCAGAGATGTGCAAAATGACAGCAGCACATTATTTAACTAAGGTTTCTATCATTAGATTTGCTTTTATTGTAGTCTACTGTAGTCTTTGTTCACTTTGCAATAAAAAAAAGGAAAAAGTTAAATAGACACAGTTTTGAAAAGTTCGGCATTTATTCTTTTCCTGCTTTGTGTGTCAACTGTCATGGTTGCTAAGCGACAGAGCGTATGGCGGTAAAAGCCACCGAAGGGTGGACCTGTTTGAATTCACAGACAAAATAAGGAGAAAATAAGGTCTCCTTATTTTCAAGGACTTCAAAGTAAGTAAGACGTAGTCCATGAACTCGAACAGAGCCAATGTTAGGCTATTCTTTTTTTTATTTCTAAAATAATGTATTGTACTTCAAATAAAGTTAAATGTTGTCCTTTATCGTGTCTGTCCTTTACAGTCCCAATAACATAACTTTGTGGTTTCAAAATGACATGATTGTAGAAAATTTATGGTGCTTTAAAGCTTTTGCAGGGAACTCTATAAACATGAAACATTATCAATGAGTAAACTAGTCTCTAACCTGTTTATGCCTTTCCTGGTTGCTGTTGCCGGTGGTTGCCCTGGCAACTGCTGATCTGGTGCCGTTTCCATGGTGACCAAGCTCTTCCCAAAGCTTTCCCGGGGTGAGCGGTTAGCTGTTGGCGCCGCATCGTCCCCGTGTGGGCTCTTACTCTGGTGGCCTAAAGGTTGGGCCAGGAGCTGAGGAGGAACCTGGGATGTTCTGTCCCGTTCTCTCCCGCCAGTCTTTCTTTTCTCCTCCAGAGCTCGCTCACTGGCCTCCAACTTCCGAACCACATGCTGAGGAATGGGCTCTATCTTCCCGGTGGGTGTCCTCTCCCTCTGCGACAGCTGCTCGGTGGAGTATGCCTTCTTCAGGCTCGGTTTCCCCACGAGCTTCTTGATCCTCTGAAGCTCCTCTGCAAACTTGTTCTGAACTCTCTGAGAATAGGTTGTCTTGTCCTCCAGCGAGGAGGCTCGGTGCTGGAATGCTGCTCTCTTTTGGGCTACTCCCTGTGAGACCCTTCCCTCCTCCTTGCTGGGGCCCCCTGTCTTCTTTCCACTGTCATCTGAGTCCAGGCACGCCGCCCCTCCTGGCAAATCCAAACTTTTCCTTCGCTCCTCAAAGGCCCGCACCTTGTCAGTGATCTTGGGTCCAGCACGGGGCAATTTTGGAGTCATTATAACATCGCCAGAAGTCTTAGATGCTTGAGGGTCTTCAGTTTTGTCTATATCAAGTTTTTTGCTGAAAGCTGCCAGGGTAGAGGATGGAGGGACATGAGAGGAGAGCCTCCAGGAATCCTCAGCAGATTTGTTCCTACAGGAGTGAGGATTTTAGGGGTGGGGGATGGAGTTGTGGAGTTAGAGATCAACTACAGTTTTGTGGATTTGTAGGACAAGAGAAGTCATCTTAATTTCCATATTTTTGTTTGTGTTCAGTGGCCAAAACAGAGTCATATGAGATTTTTAAAAGAAACAAATGATTCACCAGATGTTTATGAAGTCCAAAAATACATTAATCCAGGATTTTAAAAAAGTGAGAATCACCTCATAAAAAATCATGCCCAAAACAAGCCTGTGAGTCTCAAGATAAATAACTCGTGATAACATTCATGCTAATATCAGCAATCCATGCATGCCACCGCAAACCAACAAAGAGAATCTGAAATAGAGGAAAGCATGCAGTTTTTAAAAAGCCCTATTCTGTTAGAAATTAGTCAAATAGCACAAATCTTGTGGAAAATAACTGCTCTAATGACTTTAATAAACATTAACAATATAAAGAGAGATGTAAACTTTTAGATGAGTTGAAATCAAACCACAAAGCAGTCAAAGGAAAGTGTGATCGGGGGTCGAATGATTGAACATAAAGGAAATGAAAGGAAGAAATGGGTCTATGGAGGATATGATATTGTGCAAAGTCTAAATCTGGGGTTTCAGGCCAGTCTTTTATTGTAATCCTGGGAATGCCAAGCCATGTGCTATAAGGGCATTGAAAATGTTCTCCCTCTGTAGAGGCTGAACATGCTCCCATAGTAGTCGCTTCCGACAGAGACACTTTCCTCTGACCCTTGGACGGGCCGCGCCAGGTTAGCATGAGAGGCTCGGATTAGAGGTTCCACACCAAGGTGACGGACGGGGGCTGCCCCGTCAGCGGGGTCCCCGCCAAAGGCTTGCCTTGCTGGGTTGGTGGGGTCTAAATGTGGCCCTGGAGGGCGGGAACCAAGAGCTCGGAGCTCTCGCTCCATAACGGGGTCGTAGGTGCCAGGGAGAGTGGCCCTACGATCTGAAGCATCCGGGTTATAGTCCATCATCCTTCCTCCCTCACCTGTAAATTTAGAGAGCAAGAGGTTAAAGGTCACAGTGGTGGATCAGGCCAAAGTCTATAGGAAAAGCGAGCCTCTATGACACTGATTCACTACAAATGTCTCAAAGATTGTTTTATTAAAATGTTCTTTATTAAGAATCCGTGCATCTCTTGGTCATTGGATTTTTGTTTCAGAAACGGCAATTAAAAAAGCAAAAACAAATGATGATTTGATTTTTGTTTTACAATACTTGAAATTTAAAGTGTTTCTCTTTTTAATTGTCAAAAATGGAAAATTTTAATTTGAAAAATTTCGATTTGAGTAAACAAAACACAAAAATGCGTTTGAACAGAAACAAAAAGAGGCTCGATCGTGGTCGTTTGTTCTTATTCCGAGATCAGATGTGATTATTTATTTCTGGCTAAAGCACCAAACTAAGAGCTGCACGGGGCTAAAAAAAGTCCTTGTGATTGAGCGTGAGCAAGGACAAGCAGCCATACGTTGTTTTCCGAAACAATAAAAGAGTCTCTCTCAGGACAGAAGTAAGAAACTTTGGTACAGTTAGACAGATATTCACCGATTCGGCTTCTCTGGATCAATAACTTGCCGATCATTTCTCCTACAAAACCGTCATCTCTCCGCAACCACAGCAAGGCAGACAGTGAGCTACAACTCTAGTTTCCTAAAAACACTCACACCGCGCTGGGATCACACTACACTGTAGTACCACCAAACATGTAGGACACATAAATAATCTCTATCTAGATCATATTACAACTCTTACTTTGGAAAAATGTGCAAAACTCTATTTTTTGTGATTTCTCCATTTATATTATAAGCATATAATCGCCATTAGCTACACTATAGATTATTGTAGTGCCACCAAACTCGTAGCAGCCATAGATAACCTGATCTAACCTGACAACAGCCAGATGCATGTCTCGCTCCGCCTAGCTCCACTCACATACATCTGGGAACCCGCCATAGGAATTGCCTTTACTGAAGGCTGGGCCTTATCAAAACTCCTTGCATTTGATTGGATAAGCCACATGTCTGTCATCTTTATTGACGTGCTATTTCAACCACTCACACCGAAGCTAACCCGTGACGCTGTGAGAGGAGGAGCCATTTGGTAGATCAAGCTCTTGCCAAATCCGGTCGGGAGAAGGGCGAAAACATCGTTTCCACCAACAAAAGCCTTCAAAGCCGTTCTCTGATGTTCTTTTAATGAAACAATATCAGATAGATTGGATAACACAGAAGAAATAGCAGCATCAATGCTAACGCTTGCTTCCTCAATGCGAGCCGCCATTGTTGTTGGAATCTCACGGTCGCTTCTCCACTCCAGGACACACCCGCCCTGCGTTTTGATTGGACAGACCATAAATTTGGTTGGGGAAATCACTTTCAATGAGCGGGTTCCCAGATGTATGTGAGGCGAGCTAGGCGGAGCGAGACATGCATCTGGCTGCTGTCAGGTTAAACCTGATCTGGATCATACTACAACTCCGACTTTGGGAAGATGAGCCCCTGATATTTCTAATATTTCTACGTAACATTACGGGCTTTTATGTGTACTATCATCGCCCAAAAGGTAACATTTTGAAATTGCAGGGTGACAAAGATCCTCACATCTACTCCATATCAGATTTGTATACACAGCGACACTTGGTTGCGAGTTTTGACCCAATTCTGAGGAATTATTTTATCTAAACCTCAATAATAAAAATAACAAATATTTCTCCATTATGTTATTAGCAGTACTTAGCTTGAACTGCAGGGATCTCTAAGCCAGAACATTAGTCCTGGAAACCATTTTTACCAATTGTTTATTTCTTTACAGGGATATGATTAATTAAAAATCAAAATCTAGTCTAGAAACATGTCGTTTCTAAGTGTTACCATTGATTTTTACTTTATTTCAAAGATTGTGTTGGGAACTGGGTTGGTTTCTAATTGTGGGTTTTTTCTTGTTTCCCTGCTGCTTTTACCTTCATCCAGTGGATGGCGCTGCACCGGGAGGGGCGTCACCCATGCCCTAATCATCCTCGAGATCAGGGGGGATTTAGGAAATTTGGGGCCCTACACAAAGACAGGCATGGGGCCCTATACAAAGACAGGCATGGGGCCCTCTGAATTTAGAAGATACAAATAAAACGGTCCCATTATACAGATAAAGAAATATACAGACATTTGTACTGAGCTGATTTTCTTGCGGTCTCAAACGGAATGGAAGATTTTTTCCCAATCACTAAGCAACGGAAAAAGTAAATAACAGTCTTCCTTTTCACTGTATAAAAGCCATAATCTGTTTACGTATCTGTTCTCCATTTATCATTTGGATGAAATAATAGCTGTATGAATCATTACAGCAGACAAGATAGAGGAGAGCAGGAGGCGGGGTTACCAATCTACTTGCTCTGGAGAGCAGAGTTCGCTGCTTTTATATATTGTCGCCAAAGTCTCAATTAGCAGAAAAAAGTCGCTAGATTTGGCGCTATGCGTTTTGTTTTTTAAAAAAGTGCTAGAGGGGTCTGAAAAGCTGCTAAATATAGCGACAAAAGCTCTAAGTTGGAAACACTGCTCTTTGAATTGCTTGTTTTCAAATGGTTTGCTGCTGGTTGTTTGGACCTTTCTGAATATATGCAGCAAATGGACTGATCCAATGTGGCGGACAATAGGGATTAGCTGTTCTCTTGTCGTTCTGCATGTGGGTTAAGAAACTGGAAACCAACAACAACTTTGGTTAGTTATTTAACCAATTTAATAAATGTACTGGTATTGAGTTTCTACCTCATGACTGCCTCATGTCCACGGCCCTGCAACCACAACTCCGGACACAATCAGACCCAGTTAGATTCTTAGTTTAATGAAGTACCAACCAATCATGATCAGCCATCAATTACAGTCAGTAGGGGAAGAATCTTTTAGAGCTCAGTATGAAAAAGAGTTTATGAGGTTTTTACTGCCTGAAGTGCTTAAACCTGGATGGGAAAAGGAAAAGAAAAAATTTAAGAGCTTTGAATGGATAATAAACTCTGAGGTTAATGAAATTCATTTAAATCAGGTAGATGTTGGACAGTTCCATTATATTCGATCATATGAGCGATTTATGCTTATAAAATTGGAAAAATCGCAAAAAATATCCAGATTCCAATGAGATTATCTATGTGTCCTGCACGTTTGGTGGCACTACAATGATCCATAGTGCAGCTATTGGTGATTATATGCTTATAATAATGAAAAAAATCACAAAAATGCCCAAAGTAAGAGTAGTAGTATGATCCAGATGGGATTGTCTGTTTGCTACACGTTTGGTGGCACTACAATGATCTAAAGTGTAGTTATTGCTCAATTTATACTTACTCGGATAATACAAAACATAAAAGTGAAGGCATTACTAATCATAAAACCTGAATATAATGAACACTTTATATCCTAATCTATAGAATAAAAAGTTATTTTTCAAGAAATTTTTTTGTCGTTTGTGTTTTTAATTTACATAACATTTTTTTAACTTTCATTAAAAACATGCTTTTGTTTTTTATTGTCATTTAAAAACACTTTTTTGTTTTTAACAATTTAATATTTTTTGTTAAATTTGCTTGTTTACCAAAGGTTTGTCTTTCACAGTAAAGTTTCTGCCTCTCTCTCTCTCTATATATATATATATATATTTTGGAGCCCAGCTAGAGTGGTGTACCTCAGGGTTTTGTCCTCAGATCCCTTCTATTCTCTCTCTCTGCCTCTTGCCTTTTAGCGTCACTGTTCCTTTAAATCCTTGACTTTGAAATAATTGCATGATTGGCTTAAAGGTTCTTTAAGTAGTTGGTAATAATAATTTTCAATTATGGTTAATTGGAGTAGCACTCTCTGGACTCAGAAAATTTGTTTAAAAAGACCCTAAACCTATTTGCTCTCGTTTTAATTCACATTGTTTGTTTTGATTGCTGTGAAGCATTTTGCGACTCTGTGTCTCAAAAACACTATAGAAATAAAAACTGTTTTCTTACTTAAATGTGTTTTAAGCTCCCTGTGCATCTATATTAAAATAGTAAAAAAAAATATGTGTGTAATAAATAAATATATGTCTAATAAAAGCATTATTAAATTATTATATCTTATATTATACTGTATGCTGTGAGGTGCAGCACTCTAGAGATCCAGATTTTTTAAATGAATCCTGAAGCAGACACCAACACAGAAGCAAGCTTGTGGATTGTGGTTACATGCTAATAAAGCCTGGACAGATAAACAGTCAATTGATTCCTTTTAAAATCAACAGGAAATACAACTGAAGCCGAAAAAGGCTGGACTGAGTGCCATGTAAAGCAGGCCTCCCTCATCATAAATCAACTAACGATTGGCATTTTAGTGATGAGCAACAGAGACAGAGATGTGATAGCAGCAGAAAATAAAGAGCTGTCAGCATCTTAGCTTAACGAAGGAGCCCCTGAAACAGCAGTGGGGGGGTCAAGGATATAAAATGTCAGGCTGTTTGACTGGTTGAGTGAAGGGATGCTGACTCGGCAAGACCATCAGAGCGCACTATACGTCAACTTCCCATTTTCTCATTAAATTGCTTTGAAAGGTTTAGTTTAAAATAAAACTAAGAAAAATGAGTCCCTATATTCTCCACTAAATGTGAACCTCTTTAGCTTGTCTTCCCTTGGTTGGAGTCATAAAATTAAAGAAGGACCAAACAGGGAAGAGGGGAAATATATTAAGTCTGTCAATACTTTCAGTCTATTCAATTTCCTGGTTAGAAATTGATTGTGAGTCTGTTGCAATTCGGATACACTTTATTTGAAACAGACCTTTACATTGGCCTTGTATGGAGTGAATTATGTTTCATCATGTTGCAAATTGCTTTTTAAATAGTACTAAAAAGAAAATGCAATGCAGCAATAAAACTTTGAAAAACTTGACATATCTTTACTGCTTTATTAGATTTTCTATAAAAATATTCTTTCTATTCTTCATATTTTTTTTTAACAGAATACATATTTTATAATCTTATTTTTCAAATTTCTCTTCTTCAGATTGAGTTTTACGAATTGCATACTTGCATACTTGTAATTGAGTTTCACTAATCACATTCTATTCACTTTTAGCCTAATAAAAACATTAATTTTTGACAAATAAAATGCGTCTCCAATCCTCACAGGAAAGCCCGCCCCCAGAAGTAAAGAGAACATGATCTGGAAAAACACAGTTTCAAAATTATGCAATCAGTTAAACTCAATCTGAAAAAAAAGTGGAATTTTTTTATATAAACATAAAAATTAAAGAAAATTTAAAAAATATATTAAATCAGAAAAAATGAAAGTTATTTAAACAAAAAAATAGAACAAATAAAAATTGTAAAAAAAAAAATTGAAAAAATTAAGTTAGAAAAATAATGAATCTAAGGAAAGAGTGAGGTTACTCTGAAAACCTTATTTGATTAATGTTCTTGGCTTGCAACAATAATGGAACAAAATTTACGGCATACCAATGAGACTCTTTGATAAAGACCTATATTTTTAGTTGTTTTTCTGTATTATTACCCTATATTTCTGACATAGGGAACAAATGGATACACAGTAGTTACTCCCTGTTGGAAACTAGGGCAGTGTGCCACACCATCGCATCACACCATGAGGGATGAATACATATCGGATTTCATCCAACAGACGTCAGTAACAACCTGCATTAAATCCATCCATCCACACTCAGCCATAAGCGAGCATGTTTCTGGCTGCTACTCCAGCGGGACAGTAAATCTTCAGTTAAAAAATGTTTCCAGGGATGTTCTATTTGGAGAAGCGCCACTTCCGGAACAACATTTGCAAGCCCTAGAATATTCACATAAGCAAGCTAGAAAAAGATAAAACGCAGAATACCTGAAGGTCCTTTCCGTCCGGCTTTGTCCGGGTGCCTCCCAGGCCCTTCTTTGGGTTCCATCTGAGGCTCGTTGGTCTCATCTTCGGTTGTCTCAGAGTCTGAAATGATGTGAGGAAAAAAACTGTTCAAGAATAATAATTCAAGATAGGATAAAAATAAAAAATTAAGCTGAGAATCTTTCCTTTTTTTCCCTTTAAATTTGAACTATAAATATAACAGCTTTTAAGTATACATTTTAATAAATGCACAGAAATAACATGCAGTTGGTACAAAGAAAAATGGGGGAACAAAATCTCAACCCTTAAAACTTCAAGATTTATAAAGTGAAGTGATGACAGAACAAAAACAGAAAGTATACAAAGACAATGGAAGAGAAGAGTCAGCAAGAGTTGATTTATGTCAAAACCGTATACAAATCACTAGAATTTCTCCTCTTAAATTTATTAAACTTCTTTAACGATACAATACAGGGTATTTCACATCAGATTTGGTCTATAGTGCCACAACACGTCCCCCATCTATTTAGTGCAAGTTGTTATTGAGCAGTATGCCAAGTGAAAAAAAAAACCCAAAAAAACAAAACCTAAAACATGTAGTCTTTTTTTTTATTTTGGTAGTATAGCACATGTGTCTTTACAAACAACAACAAAAGGCAGGGTTCATATGAAGAAGTACCCCCCCAAACACCAGACGTCACTTAGACGTTGGTTTTGAAGCTAAATCTGGTTCGTCATATAATTTATTCCACAACCAGAAATAGTTGCTGAAAATTTGTTTGGTAGGTCTGATTTTGTCCCACTTTAGTCCAGTAATACATGTTGAAAAAAGACGTTGAAAACCCAGGTTTTCACCTTCAACTTTTCAACCAAATGTGGACATTGTTCGGACGTAAATCGTGCCGTCTGTTCAATAAATTTTTGCTCAGCTGGTAAGCTAATGGGTTAAATAAGCTACATGAAAACAATTTGAACTGCAAAACAGACAAAATTCTCTGCTGGAAGGTTTCAATAAAAATAAAAAAACCTAAATGTAACTGTTTTGCAAATGAAATTTTAGCTCAATAGAATATGCTAGCATAATACTGGGCGTTTCTCAATATGCGTTCTTGAGCGTTCTCGTGTGCTCGTGTACTCGTGACACGTCATCAGCCTCAGCCCGAGTACCGTTCCAATTCTCGAGAACGCCAGATCGAGAACGCACCAAATCCCCGGATGTTGTTCTCGCCCCGCCCTCTTTATCGAGCATGCATCAGAGCAGACTTGTGCGTTCTTCAGACTGACCGCTTCCCCAGAATGCCCCGCGGCCGCAGCTTGATTCGAGACAGCGCTCACAGTGTTAAGTTAAACATTCCCTTTTCTGCTGCTGTTGTTCTTCAAAAGTACGTTTTGAAATCGTTTGAGGCGATAACATTATACATTTAAGCCTCCCTGTGTGGCCTGTTTACAGAGTTAGTGCGAAATTGAAAAATAAAGTCCGACATTGAGCGGACCAGAGTGACCAGCAGACCTCCAAGCGTAACCGCAGCCAGGGCTAAATTTACCCCGTCTGTAGTGCACTTCTCTCGGTCTAGTTATGTGTGAACTGCCGCTCGTTCTTTTTTTAATGTTTTTTGAGCTTTAGAAATTAAAAATATTGTTTTCAAAATGTTTTGTGTAGGGAATAAATAGTTTTGACTGCTAAAGCAATGCTAAAGAACGTTGCATGTGATGACGTCACGAGTACGCTTCTGTTCCAATACACATACATGCTTGCGTGCTCGCGTTCTCGTCAAGTCCGATCTTCCTGCGTTCTCGCCAAGAACGGACTTGAGAAACGCCCACTGTGAAAGTGTTAAAACAAATGTTAGCAACAAATTTCAGGAGCTAGCATGCTAGTACAATCAGGCTAGCTGGCCACTCCAGATCAAAATGTAGCCTTTCAAGAAGCAAACATTAACTCCTTTGTGATCATTTTCAGGAAGAAGAAGATCAGATAGGAATACAAACTCAATGAAACAGTATGTATTTATCAATTATCTTATTGTTGGTTAATGACCTTTAGGCTCCATTTAGATATCTACTGTTTTTTGAAATAATAAAGTATTTATGATGCTTTTCTTCCCACAGTGAATAAAATAGCTTAAAATGTTTAGTCCGAGCACCTAAAATGTCATTCCTTAATCCACACCCCATGTCTATAATATATATATATATAAAATATATATAATATTTATTCCGTCAGGGTGGCAGTGGGGCCGGTACCTATATCCAGCAGTCTATAGTCGAGAGGTGGGGTACACATCCTGGACAGGTCCCCAGTCTGTTGCAGGGCAACACAAACACATACAGCCATGCACAAACACGCACTCACACCTAAGGACAATTTAGAGAAGCTGATTAAAATAACAGTCATGTTTTTGGACTGTGGGAGGAAGCTGTAGTACTAGGAGAGAAGCCACGCATGCATGGGGTGAACATGCAAACTCCATGCAGAAAGACCCCAGGGGCGGGAATCGAATCCAAACCATGCTGCAAGGCAGCAGCGCTACAAACTGCGCAAACGGGCAGCCCTTTACGGTAATTGTTTTGTTCAATTTAAATGAAAATTTTAAAAAATTTAATAATTGCCCTAATTTAGCTCCATACCCACTGTCCTGCATGCCTAAGGTGTTTCCCTACCTCCTCATACCTATCTTAAACAAACAAGTATAAACAGGCCTCTTCAGGCTGTGATGATGGGATCAGAGAGAAATCTAAAACATTAAGGACTCTGTCTTATATCGTACAGTTCCTCGTTTTGGCTAATTTCAATAAGAAAAGCAGAATTTTGCCCAGTTTTGCACCTTTTTTAATAAACCAGGCCATGCCTATAGTAAAAAAAATACAAATGCTAAAGAAAACAGGATGAAAATGGCATCATGGATGGATGTTGGGGAGAAGAAAGGGGGACGGAAGGAGGGCGGCAACAAACTAATCAAAGACGGAGGGTTTACCATAGCTTTGCTTTCGGCAGGAGCGGAAAACTTCGCTTCCATAGTGGCAGCAAGAGAGGGCAGACGGGAGAGCACCGTTACTATGGAAACCAGCATCTCTCTTACCCACACGACCAATCCTCTTCGTACCCATTAGAGTCTAAAAAATCACCAGCCAAACAGCTGGGTGGCTGACAGATATGTTTACTGGTTAGAGAGAGGAGGGGGACGACGACAACCACAGAACAGGTTGCACCTCATTTGGCCTCTCATCAAGTCAAGATCCTGATTAGATGAGAACAAACCGGTGTGACATGAACATCCACTAGATCTGCGTATGTAGATCCCCCCCCTCTGTATATAAACACCAAACTACCCCAGAGATGTAAACACAAAGAACAACAGGAGTTTATTTTATAATACGATTGATTTATAGCTTTAGTTTTCATATGTATCACAAAACATTATGGCATAAATTAGAAAAGATGTTTTCCACTTGAGGATTGTTTTTTTTTTCTTTCTTGCATAGAGTCAGCAGTGCAATACAAAAATATCACTTTGTGGGGGTGGATGTACAACAACAAAACCCACTTGAGTGCAGTTAAACAGCAAAACATACAAATAAATGATATCAAAAATGATTTTATAATCTTTAGTACAATAATCCCTGGAGTAAATATCCTCCTAAAACATGTCGTTGAAAGCTAAACAGAGTTAAGAAACAAAAGACTGTTGCAGTTTTTCCAGCAGAACAGAAAAAGAAAAGAAAAGAAACTTTTACATGGCACAGTAGGATAACTCATACTGACAACACACCATGGGTGAATCTGCCAAATGTCCGTGTGGAGTGCCCAGTTCTCTGAAACAAGATACAGAAAGCACAATGCATTATTCAGCAGCAATTGCAGCAGACATTCAAATTAAGGCAGAACAAAATGCTACATTTTTGGTGCTTCCATTCATGGAAAAGATTAGGAGAGCCATAAAATATTCTGTTCTGACATCAAAACTGATGGCAATTGAACTTTTCTTAGCTTTGTGGAAAAGAAAGATAATTTGTTGCTTTAAACTTCAAGTTTTCTTGTTCAATCGATGATAATTTATGTCAACAGAAGTGAAACATAGAGAAAAATTTTAGGATGCTGACAGACAGCTAGTGCTACCCTCTTACCAGACATGTTCACAAGTCATTTTTTGCAAGTCCAAGTCAAGTCTCAAGTCTTGAGAGCTCAAGTCCAAGTCAAGTCTCAAGTCTTGAGAGCTCAAGTCCAAGTCAAGTCTCAAGTCGCAATAATCAATTAATCGCACAAAAAATTCTAATCACTCGATTAATTTTAAAAAGTGTAATAATTTTTGTGCTTGCTTGTTTCTCCTTGTGTTTTCATCTCTATCACGGAGACGGTATAGCTTAAAGGTCGCTATTATATCTATGGAATTATCATTATCTTGAACTGCTAAATGAAAAATACAATTAAAAAAAGCACACACAAAATTTTTTTCCAGATAAATTTAACATTTTCTTACAGTATTTCCTGACATTTGTGGTTACAACTTTTTCTAGTTTTAGCAGTAAATGTCTGCTCTTTTATTGAAAATGAGGACTGTGGAAAAAAAAAACAATCACAATCCTGCCGTCCACGTGATGTCGCGTCAGTGACGTCAGTGTGTTGCACAGGGAAAAATATGATTTATGGTTTTCTTTCATTTTAATGTTAGTTTTATGCTTTGCATGTTTGGAGAGGAAGATATGATTTGTTATTCTTTGTATTTTCTTCTTAAGCTTTGCATGTTTGGATGTTTCTTTTTTATATGATTGTTTTCCTTTATTTTAGACTTTTGAATTTTTCCTGCATGTTGGGTTGTTTTGGTTTGTTTTTCCCTTGTGACAATCCATGCGCACTGGACTGAAGTAGTTGTCTGAGGAGGCGGAGTGCATTAATTGCGCTGCGTAATGCTGCGCTCAGGTGTGAGCAAGGGCTGATTAAAGCCGACATAAAAGGAGTCTGAAGGAAAGGAGAAGGAGAACGGAATCTGCAGGTGATGGAGACGGACGCGCTGCTGGGGAAGATGCAGGCGGGATCCGTGCGCACTGATGGCGCAGTAAGGAGTATTAGGGCAGAGGAGGAACCTCGCCTGTAAGTAGCGCTCCCCCTCGCTTAAAGCATAAACAGGCATATATCTTCCGACAGGGTTTTGGCGTGTGGATGCTGGCGTTCTCCTTGCTTCTCTTTTTAGCTGGATCGGTCTGGAAAGGGGTGTGGCACGCCAGGGAGTGGAACAGTGCTGGAGTGCAGCAGAGTCTGTGGATCAGCCAGTGGGTGCTGCAGGCTGATCACTCGCGCACCAGAAGCAGCAGAACAAGCGGAGCCCAACTTCCAGCCTCTGATTTTTAAGGAAAACTCTTGAATTTTAGGTTTTATCAGGAGAAGAAAAGGTCTGTTTTATTATGCCACTTTTGCTGTGGCTTTTTGTATAAATAAAACACTTGAACTTGAGTGCTTCACGGTTTGGGTTTTTGAGTTTTCTTCTGTGTGCGAGTAAGGCGAGCGTCGATCAGTCAAGTTAGTAAAACAAAAAACACTTGAATAAGTGTTTTTACACTGGAATAAAATATTGTTCACAAGTCGGAAATCACGAGTCTCAGTCGAGTCTGAAGTCCTTTAAATGCAAGTCTAAGTCGAGTCTGAAGTCATTAAATATGCGACTTAAGTGCGACTCGAGTACGAGTCACAAACTCGAGTCCCCATCTCTGCCTCTTACCTCAGGGAAATGCAACTGGACTAGCAGTTATCTACCAGTTTCTGAAATCTGAATTTCATTTCATTATGTTGAAAGCAAAGAAGATGTTTTGTAAATAAAAAAATGTTTTGTGAATGGATATTTGAAAAATATTTCTTTTTTAAATTAGAAATATAAAAAAATTCTTATACAAATCTTGTATTTAAAACTTTTATTGATAGATTCCTTTTTTTAGATGGAGTCTTAGGAAAGGCATTCTTTTCAAATTGCCTTCTACAGATCACATTCCCTTTATTTACGCTGGAATGAGGAGCAAACATGGATTTCTATTGGTCTGAATGTTATCAGCAGCATTTTTACATATGAAGAGCATTTGTTTTTATTTGTCTTGAAGTGAGGAGAATGTGATCAATAATGAGGGGAAACAAATCACTCAATGGAGTTTGAGGAAAATTACCCCCTTCCTCCCTTTCTGCTGTGAGATATTTAAGTAGACTCACAGCATATGAATAAGATCATAGTCCAGACTTTGACTAGGCCAACGACTTTCCATTTCTTGGTTCCCCGTCAGCCTTTGGTTGATTTACAAATATGATTTGGGGCACTACTATATTTCATTTCTGATGGAAAACTAATGTGCCACTTTGAAATGAGGCAGCCATTAGAGATGGCTGAAAAAATAGTTTATAGATATGTAATTAACTAGCATGTAAACACTTTAAAACTCATTCTTAAGTGTTTATTATGCATTTATTTAGGGTGAGCAGGAGACAAAAATAACAAACACTGACTCTAATCTGTTGAACAATAGGCGAAAAAAGAAGATTCTGTAGCATGAATATGTTTTGAACACTTTTGAAAGAGTCATTAAGTGTTTAAACATTAATTAATTACATATTTTATCTCGTTAGCCTTATTTGAAATGGATCTGCCTGGCTGTGTGTTTCCTGGACGGGCCTGCCTTTTACAGCTGCTTTTTGTTTCTCTGCTTCTGTCTCCTTGAACCCCAGTCGGCCTCAGCAGATGGCCGCTCACACTGAGCCTGGTTCTGCTGGAGGTTTCTTCCTGTTAAAAGGGAGTTTTTCCTCTCCGCTGTCGCTACAAGCATGCTTAGTGTGAGGGATTGCATTTGAGTCAATGAGTCAATGCAATCCACTGGTTTTCCTTAGATAGAAAACTTTGAATCAATTCGACTGTATGATCTGGTTGAACTGTAAATTGCCTTGAGATGACATGCGTTGTGAATTGGCGCTATAGAAATAAACTGAATTGAATTGAGTTTAGTATTATCTCTCTAGAACAGGAGCTATAACAGAGTAACCTGGCTGACAACACTGTCTAAAATGGACGGATCAATCATAGTGCATGAGGCAGAATTTTACACTTGCCCCTGAATGGCCTATAATGCAACAGCTTTTTTCTTTAACAATAACAGTCAAGATTGCAGCCACAATAAAATTATGTTTGAAATATGCCCTTTATAATGTCTTTAATATGAGCGTGATAAGTCTTCAAAACTGCACCAACTGGCTGCTGTTAAAGATGCGTCACAGCCGTACTTATCTGATTGGTTCTGTATCCACTGATTCAATTGGTCGCATCCAGTGAAATAAGACCCTCCTTTCCAAACTAATACACCATGTGTATCAGTCAGTATAAGCCATGTGTACAGTATAGCAGTCAGTACCAGCCATGCATATATATATACATATCAGTTATCTCAGCCATATCAGCGTTTTATACGGCACATTGGACAGTATAAGCCAAAACTCTAGCATATTAGTCCCTATCAGCCATGTTTACAGCATATCAGTTAGTATAAACCTTGTTTATTGCATATTAGTCAGTATCAGCCATATATACAGCATATTAGCCAGTATCAGCAATGTCTACAGCATATCAGTCAGTATAAGCCACGTCTATGGCATATTAGTCAAAATCAGCCATGTCTACAGCATATCAGTCAGTATAAGCCAGGTCTATGGCATATTAGTCAGTATAAGCCATGTCTACAGCATGTCAATCAGTATCAGCCAGGTCTACAGTATGGCATATTAGTCAGTATCAGCCATTCCTACTGCATGTCAGTCAGTATAAGCCAGGTCTATGGCATATTAGCCAGTATCAGCCATGTCTACAGCATGTCAGTCAGTATAAGCCAGGTCTATGGCATATTAGTCAGTATCACCATGTATACAGCATATCAGTCAGTATAAGCCAGGTCTATGGCATATTAGTCAGTATCAGCCATGTCTACAGCATATCAGTCAGTGTAAGCCAGGTCTATGGCATATTAGTCAGTATCAGCCATTTCTACAGCATGTCAGTCAGTATAAGTCAGGTCTATGGCATATTAGTCAGTATCAGCCATGTCTACAGCATGTCAGTCAGTATAAGCCAGGTCTATGGCATATTAGTCAGTATCAGCCATGTCTACAGCATATCAGTCAGTGTAAGCCAGGTCTATGGCATATTAGTCAGTATCAGCCATGTCTACAGCATGTCAGTCAGTATAAGCCAGGTCTATTGCATATTAGTCAGTATCAGCCATGTCTAAAGCATATCAGTCAGTATAAGCCAGGTCTATTGCATATTAGTCAGTATCAGCCATGTCTACAGCATATCAGTCAGTATAAGCCAGGTCTATGGCATATTAGTCAGTATAAGCCATGTCTACAGCATGTCAGTCAGTATAAGCCATGTCTACAGCATATCAGTCAGTATAAGCTAGGTCTACGGCATATTAGTCAGTATCAGCCATGTCTACAGCATATCAGTCAGTATAAGCCAGGTCTATGGCATATTAGTCAGTATCAGCCATGTCTACAGCATGTCAGTCAGTATAAGCCAGGTCTATGGCATATTAGTCAGTATCAGCCATTTCTACAGCATATCAGTCAGTATAAGCCAGGTCTATGGCATATTAGTCAGTATCAGCCATGTCTACAGCATGTCAGTCAGTATAAGCCAGGTCTATGGCATATTAGTCAGTATAAGCCATGTCTACAGCATATCAGTCAGTATAAGCCAGGTCTATGGCATATTAGTCAGTATCAGCCATGTCTACAGCATGTCAGTCAGTATAAGCCAGGTCTATGGCATATTAGTCAGTATCAGCCATGTCTACAGCATATCAGTCAGTGTAAGCCAGGTCTATGGCATATTAGTCAGTATCAGCCATGTCTACAGCATGTCAGTCAGTATAAGCCAGGTCTATGGCATATTAGTCAGTATCAGCCATGTCTACAGCATATCAGTCAGTGTAAGCCAGGTCTATGGCATATTAGTCAGTATAAGCCATGTCTAAAGCATATCAGTCAGTATAAGCCAGGTCTATTGCATATTAGTCAGTATCAGCCATGTCTAAAGCATATCAGTCAGTATAAGCCAGGTCTATTGCATATTAGTCAGTATCAGCCATGTCTACAGCATATCAGTCAGTATAAGCCAGGTCTATTGCATATTAGTCAGTATAAGCCATGTCTACAGCATATCAGTCAGTATAAGCCATGTCTATGGCATATTAGTCAGTATAAGCCATGTCTACAGCATGTCAGTCAGTATAAGCCATGTCTACAGCATATCAGTCAGTATAAGCTAGGTCTACGGCATATTAGTCAGTATCAGCCATGTCTACAGCATATCAGTCAGTATAAGCCAGGTCTATGGCATATTAGTCAGTATCAGCCATTTCTACAGCATATCAGTCAGTATAAGCCAGGTCTATGGCATATTAGTCAGTATCAGCCATGTCTACAGCATGTCAGTCAGTATAAGCCAGGTCTATGGCATATTAGTCAGTATAAGCCATGTCTACAGCATATCAGTCAGTATAAGCCAGGTCTATGGCATATTAGTCAGTATCAGCCATGTCTACAGCATGTCAGTCAGTATAAGCCAGGTCTATGGCATATTAGTCAGTATCAGCCATGTCTAGGTGTATCAGGTGTATCAATCTGGCTGGCCAGACTAAAAACAGGAGTCAGGACCTATTCTACAGGGGCCTTGGGTCCTGTTGACCTCTGTCTAGAACCGTCAATGGCTGAGATAACAGGAAAAAAAGTCTTTAAGAGCAGTCCTTTAACATTTTTGTGTGTTCTTGGTCTTTTTGTGGAAGAACTGTTGTATTAAAAGCTTTGTTGTTGTTTTTTTTTAACTAACCCTAACACTGACTTACAGCAAGTGCTACCCTCTTATCTATAACAACCTGAGGGAAATGCTACTAGCAGTCATCTACCAGTTTTTTGATATCTGAATGTAACCCTAAATGTAGGCAATACTTGCTATCTGCCTGCCTTACAGAAAGCTGTTAACTGATCAGATATGTGCCTATAAAGAAGAATCTTACCCAAACCTCCAGAATGCATCTTTTTATAAGAGCAGCCATGCTGATAAAGCAGCTGAAAAGATCCTTTCCTAGCGAGGCTGTCAATCAGTTCCTCACAATGACTCACTGCTTTTCAGCGGACAGAAGGCAAAAGTAGCAGAAGTGAAATGACTCACATCTCACTTACTCCCCCCCCAAATCCCCGGTCCCCAATAGTTAGTGCTTTTTGAGTCATTTTAAGTAATTCGATGACACATCCGCCTATAAGCTTCAGTCTTTGTCACAATTCTTTTGATAGAACTCGTATCACAGAACACCAGCCTCCAATTTGGCAATATGCAGATTTGGAAAAAATACTTCTAAGGGAATAGATTTGCTTAGTTTTTGTGGAGTAGATTTGCTGCTAAAAGCAAGAAAGTGCATGTCGATGGGGCTTAGCACTGGTAAGAGCATCCTGATTCAGAGCTTTTGCTCACTTCTTCGTCCCTGTGCATCGCTGGCCTGATTCCCATGTCTCCACAGAGCGTAGCCTACTGACACACTTTTTTTTTCAGCTG